ATTAAGGCTTTTGATATTGCAAAATGATATGTTTTATGGCAAAGAAAGGAAGAAAAAGAAACAGGTGCATCAAGAGTTACAGCTTTCACACACAATGCTGTCGGCGATAGTAGTTTGGTCTTCATACAAGAACCTCATCAATTTTCATCAATGAACTAAGTAATTCTGTGTCTTTTTGTCTTTTCCAAATGCGAACACAGAGGCTGCCAGTATCTTAGTCACTGACACAGAAAAGATTTAAGCTAATGTCCATCTTGACTGCATGATGAGGAAAATCTTACTGGCAGTTTTCTGCTCCAGCAGTCACTGTATGTTTTCACTAGTATTGCATGTAACCTCTAATGTTAAACAGTGAACATTAAATTAATTTGTGTGATGAAACTAATCATGTACAACTTAGGACTGAGTCCCTCAGACTTTAGTCATAAAAATAGTCATTAACAGCAAGGAACATGAAAACCTATGTGCTTAAGGATTTAGGAATTCAGTTGGGCAGAGGATGGGCCAGCTAGTACAAAGTAACTCTGAAATTTCACATTCTCCATCCTGTTCTCACATGTATTTCCCTCCAGAGACAAATTCAGTAGTTACACAGATTTTTTCCTGTTTGTGCATGTGGATAGGTTTTCACACATTTTTTCAGCAGTTTTTAAACAGTATTTGAAAATTAGTGTAGCAAAGGTAGTTTCCAATGTTTGCAATTGGCATTCATTATGATGCAGATACTGTTGTTTCTATAGTATGATTTATTCATTACAGAAGTTAAGTCCAGGGTGTGAGGAAAAGATTCCTGTAGCAAAGATGCAAATGAGAAATGAAATGTAAGAAAAAGTGTTGGAATAGAAGAGTGAAGCTTAGTAAATACATGTTGGTTCCATATCTGAGGTTTGGATTTTACAGAACTTATTTTACTGTGTCAGAAAAAGAATGTCTAGAGATTGCAGGTCTACTATAAATCTCTTTTTTTTTGAGGCTTGTCAGTCAAATACTTTTCATAGGTACTGATGTTCAATTCTGTAAATCATTCAGAATGTTTCCTGAACACTACAGCAAATTAGATAAGTTTGTAAGAGCAACAAGTTTAAGCAAAACATTTCCTCATCAGTTCCCCTTTGTGATCAATTCTAAATACAGTTATTTAAATAAATATTTAATATGGGAAAAATCTGTTTCATTATCCTTTAAGATTCATTCTCAGTTAATTCATATTCCTCCTACAGAGCACGAGTTTACTTGTACTGAGTGTGCCTCCCTCTTTGTGACATGGCTGTTCCTAAATGTCATTGTCACTATAAACTACACTATTGTCATTGCATATACTGCAATAAATGAGTGTTTAATAGAGTACATGCAATGCAGTATATAGCATATCATTAGTATTATTTTGCTGTTTTGCTTTCTTGAAGAAGCTTACAATAAACCCAAAATCAAATACTAAGGCATCTGAAATCTTAGTGTAAACATGACAAGTTGTAGATTTAATGTCCGATTGTTCATCAAAGTATATTCTGAGTTCCCCCAAAGAATTTTGTTCAAGAAGTTTATAAATGGCAACTTTTCTTTAATATTATAGGATTTTGAGAGGTTACTTCATATACTTTTAAAATGTTCTTTTTTCCTGGTTTAAAAATGACTTCATTAAATTCTTTGCACAGGCTTTCCAACATTCAAAATACAGTGTATTAGGATCATTGCAGTTGATTGCATTGCTAGAGCTGTACATTTACATGCAAAAAGCCAAAATCTGGAGTACAATCAACATTTCAAGTTAGTTTTCTTTCCCTGCTTTTACTGATTTACAGTTAGTATTTTGGTAGTGCATTAAGGCAAATAAGTGAATAGATGTTAAGTCCTGTAGAGTCTCTAGAATAAACAAGTATTCAGTAGGTTTTAACTGAAAATAGCTTTAAAAAAAAAAAAACTTTCTTCTTTGGAGGCTAATAAGTAAGCAGTGTATAGCTTCACTTTCTCCTTTCATTTCATTTGACATTATATATGCAGCCAAGGAGTAGGTATTTATCCATTCCAACAGAAGATGTTGTGTTAATCTTAGCAGAGGATCTGCCTGGAAAAACAGTCAAGTAGCTTGAGCCATGGTGTGCAATGGTCCGTATACAATAAATAAGGGTGTATGAACTTCTCAGTATCAGCTAGTGTATGTATATCTTCCTGAATTGTATCGGCATGGAGAGTAAGATTGGTATCTATGGAATCCTTATGTAAAAGAGCAATCTATTCTTCTATATATGCCACTAAAAATATAACTCATTCCATATTTCTGAGAGAGACTGGAGTCATAATAATAGGCTAAATTCTATGCTATGTGCCCAGAGGAGTAAAAAAAAAGTTATTTATGAAACACAATGAGGGTCTTACCTCCTTGTAATTAGGTGTTAACATCTTCAGGGTAGTGAAAAACATTATATTATAAAGAGTAATATGCAAAACATTTTTGGCAGACTGTATAATGAACTGATTTTTCATATTAGAGGAGTCTCATACAGGAGATCTTGTAACACAGCTGTTGTACCTGTCTTCTGTTCCTGTTTTATTGGTGTTAAGATACGTGGTGTGTGCTGCTAAACACTGGCAGTGTTTGTAATTATGCAACCTTCCAGCAACAGAAAGTACACTTCAGCCTGCTGATTTATGGACAATTGTTGTGATTCTCACACTTCAGAGCAGTAGGTCTTATTAACTTGGGTGTAAGTCATTTGATGCTTTCTTTGTTGCTTCTCATCTTATTCAATGCTTTCTCATACTTCCCCTAGTTTTCCCCAAACCAATATTCAATTCATGTTGAAAGGAAAGTACTGTAGGTGTTAATTTACTTGGATGATGTCTTCAGGGATACTTTTACTGCCTTACCTTAGTACCATGCCTTACCTTAGTTAGGGTGCAAATCTAGGTTTTGTAAATACTGTCAGTGAGGAGCAACCAGTGAAGGGTGGCTCAGAGCAAGAGCTTGACGTGGGCGATCAGAGGTTATATCTACAGTGTGAAGCTATGCACTGTAGAAACCAGAGGTGCTTACCAGACTTGGTTTGCATATGAATGTCAGATGACTTTTGACTTCACGTTGGGATGAGACAAATTCTGTCCTGTACCCTGATTTGAGAGTAAGGATACCAAACCGCTCAAGCTGGAAAGGAGCTGTGTTGCACTCAAACAGATCATCTGACAGGCACGTTTTGGGCACCGGGTTGGGAGCACTGTGTATCTCACTTACCCTTCAATTTAAATGTATCCTAAGTCACCCTCTATAAGAACCTGTCTCTCTTCATTACTGTAGAGTGAGCTTCAAGAGACAAACACCACTGCTGGGGCATTTAGATAGGTGGTGAGATTTTTTTAGGCCTTCACCTCCTGTTGGGTTACGATGTCAGCTGCTGTAATCCTCTTGTCTTTATTGCTGAACTATTTTAGCACAAAATTCTTCAGTATTATATCATGCGGTAGTACTGATAAAACCAAAGCTGTTCCGAACTTCAAACAGGAAATAATAAAATAGAAGGTGAGGAAAATTAATTGCATTTATGTCAACTGCCTGTGATGCAAGACTGGGACAAATTAATCTCCAGTGACCTGTTTGCTCCATTGATTTCTTTGGTGTTTTATTAAGGAAGAACATGATCCATTATCTATTGCATTGCTAGGAAATAAAAAAGAACTATGATTAAATATAGCCTCGTAATGAGTTGTAATATTGCTTTATTTTATATACACAAGAAAATACTCTTTTATTATTGTGGCTATTAGAGCATGTCAAATCTCAGATGAAGTTTGCTTTCAGCAGAGAGTTCTTTTTCCATTTTGTGCCAAAATTATGTCTCATTGAAATATTAGTTCATCCAATCTGAACAATGAAGACAGGGTGTTTTGATTTTGGGAACTAGAAACCTTTGCTTTCTCCTGATTTGTTACAGCATTTCTACCTTTCCAAGAGCAGTGTTTCATTTGTTAGGTTCATCTTTTCAAATCTATGTTTCTACAGGACAGAAGTAATAGATCAAGCTGTTGTACATTAATCTTTTCTCAGAAGAACCCCAAAAGTAAATTATTAAACCTAAACTCATTTCAAGAATTTTGTAGTCTGATTGTCATTTTAGTCAATTAGCAGGTATAAATATTAGTATTATGTGAATGCTGACAAGCTTATGGAAGCTACAGGGTGTTTATTTCATTTATTTCAGCTGGACCAAGTTTAAACTTTTTGTTTCTAAGAGATATTTTATGATCATTAAAGTACTGACCAGCTGAGAGCCATAGTGCCACAAACTGGGATGTATTTAAGTAGACTTTAATGATGTGACCTTATTATTCAAAATTCCTAAAACTTCATCTGTTTACAGATTTTTCAGTATTATCGTTGTTGTGTTTGTGTGCAAATGTAAAGACATATGTTAAGCAATTTGTCTTAAGTAGAAGCTGACACAGCGCTAACAGCACTGGAAGCCTGGAAGGCCTGGAGGAGAGGAGAGAAAATACAGCAACTTAGTGTAACAACTGTCAGCTGTGAGAAAGTAGCAGCATTGCTCAACCAGCTACCCCGCTTTAGGGATCTTTCCTTCATACAGCTCCTTGTATTTCTCAGACTGAGAGAGTGAAATTTCTGTGACATACTTAACACTAGGCAAAATATGCTGATAGATTGAAATGTGACTGAAATAGTACATTCGTAAGTTGTGCGTATTTTATAGACTTATAGGCAGTTGTTGGTGTGTTTCTCTGCTTGTTTTAGGGAGCAGGAGGTATTTCCATTGTATCATTAGTGGCAGAAAGCATCTAGTGTTACAGTCCTGCGCCAGAAGTATTAAATAGTTAAACAATATGGTGGCAAAGCAATGGTTAAATGATACATTGATATTAAACATTATAAAACGTAAAGAAGGGGACAAGCCACTCTTTATGTTTCTGTTTGAAAGGAAGGGAGGTAGGATGTAATGCTGGTGAGCCTTTATAATATCTGAAGTCTTATCCCTTTTCAGCGCAATCCTCCCATGCTGGTGAATGATCTGTTTGAAGATATCAAAGATGGGGTAATGCTAATTGCCCTTTTGGAGGTTCTTTCAGGGCAGAAGCTGGTAAGAACTTCCTTCTTTCTGAATATACATGATAGTTGCATAATTTCTCTAGGATATAATTTTCTACTATTTTTCTATATTTGCATACTGTAAAAAACCTGACTGCTACATAGCAAAATAAGTTTATTCACAGAGTGGGCTTACAAAACCAAAAAAAAGATTATTACAGACTGACATGCTTGATTTTATGCATTTTCTGTTAATTTTGTCTTACTAGTTCATAAAAATTGCTTATTTCTGTTAGTCTTTGCAGTTCACCTTGGTGTTACTACTATGACACAAACAAGGTCTAAACTGCAAGCTACTTCTATATATCTTGAAGAAATAATGACAGCTTTTTCTTGTTAAATTTACAGCTTTCTCTCTGAAAAAAAATTGTGAGCCCCTCAAATTTCATGGGGTCTTATATCCATTTACCTTGAGAGCTGCTCTGCTACTTAAAGAACCTTAACTGGTGCCAAATGGCTTTTTCACAGCCAAGTTGTGTACAGAGGCCACGGTGTGCACATGGCAAATAGTCTGTCTCTTGGGAGCCAGGCTAGTTTTGTGCATGTGACATGGGTAAAAAACAAAAGGGTTTTAGGCCAATGGCTCTCACTTTTTCCAAACCAGCTCACAGATCGGGTGGCAGCATCTGAAAGAGTAGGGCAACAGTCCATCATTTGGCTTGCTCTAGGGTTCAGACATTACCTGTTCCCTCACATGCAGGCAATTTGCAAGTGCCACACTTTTGCCCCTTTTTCATATATCACCTCTGTTTTGATAGCAGGTGATACCCAAAATTAGGTAGTAATTCAGACTGCAAGAGTGATTTTACTGTAAGATGGGAAAAAAGCTATACTTCCAAGTGTGTTTCTATTCTGTTGAAATATACCTATTTGTTTCTGTTCGTCTAAGACAGAACGTCTCCCTCTTGTGGCAAAACAGAAGTAGCAGAACAGCAAAAGAATTTTAATGATGGTACCTGTTACAATGAACTTCATTGGATGGTATCCTGCCTACATTAATTAGTGAAAGACAAGCGATATCACAGAATCAGAATAATGTCTGGTTAACTTAAAGGTCATGTATAGCAGAATATGATATTCTGTAGCAACAAGAGGAATTTCAGAATCTATAGCAGGCCTTTGTTAAATCCATTTGTAGTTTTATCAAATGAATTTAAATAATAGTAGTGGTATATTTGCATTACAATATAAGATTCAGTGGGGAATTTTATTCCACTGTAGAGTATTAGAAGCCTAGGATGCGTTCTTGATTTAATTCAAAGAATTCTGTCTTTTTTTAGCCTACATGTCTGAAGCTCAGCAAAATTTCATTGTTCAATGAGGGTTTGTGATAGTTTTTTATCACCAATGAGGTATTAGAGAGAATGGATAAAAATCCTCTAGTTAAAATGTCCTCATTCTTCTTCAGTGCAGACTGATTTTTAAAAATAACAATCACCTTGACTACTTCTTTGCAAGCAAAAGTATTTTGCTGAGAGAATGTTGCCTTCTCTGAAATATATGTGTGTGTGTGTGTGTGTGTATAAAAAGAGAAGTAGTTTATTTTATGTAAGAAAAACAGTTCTCTGATTTGATTAAGTTTATGGGCTGAAGCCGACAGCTTGCATCCTGAGGTTACTAAGACATATTTAACTTTTTAGTAATAGAACTATCACAGTTAGGTCCCCTATTATCTGCTGGTCCTCCCTGTTAGTATATGCAAAAATGGAATTTGACTGTTCCAAGGAACATTTTAACATGTAAATCAGTCTAAGTTATGTACATAGGCATTTATAATAATCTGGAACTTCATTTTTTGCAGCAAATTGAGATAAATCTAATTGGAGTTTACACTGTTCTTTCTCTTTAAGCCTTGTGAGCAGGGACGTCAGCTGAAGAGAATTCACTGGGTTGCCAACATTGGCACAGCTCTTAAGTTTCTAGAAGGAAGACGGGTAGGTTTGGTAGCACTTAGTAGGATTTTTTTCCTTATTTTTTTCTTTCTTTCCTTAAATGTGTGATTTGTATCCGCCCACCTGTTCTTATTCTCCAAAATTTGAGCTATGTATGCAGTCTTCGGTTTCTATACAGTGCCTGTAAAGTACAAATGTCAAGTTCCAACACTAATACGTAGCAATGTATAGGGTAATTTTTTTTTTTTTTTTTTTTTGTAGTTAGAATCACCTTAGATTATCTCCTTCCTTTTTTTTTTTTTAATGTGCTCTTCAGGTCCTCATGTTCCCTACTTTCCTGTTGCTGTTCTCAGCAAAGAACAATGATCTTCAGTTCAGTAGAGGCATTCATTTATAATTAAAAGAATAGATTTATGGACTTCACAAGGTTGTACATGCAAAACTCTACTCCCTGAAAGTATAGACATGAAAATTTAGAACAGTGTGACCACTTATTAGCTTGGCAGGACTTCAGACTAATTCCTGGATTGATTCTGGTAAAGTAGTACTGTGGCCATTTTAGAAATGAAATAAAATATTTTATAAATTTAACAAAAGACAGTGTTGTGGTTTAACCCCAGCCGGCCACTGAGCACCACGCAGCCACTCGCTCACCCCCCTTGGGTGGGATGGGGGAGAGAATCGGAAGGGTAAAAGTGAGAAAACTCGTGGGTTGAGATAAAGACAGTTTAATAGGGAAAGCAAAAGCCATGCATGCAAGCAAAGCAAAGCAAGGAATTGATTCACTACTTCCCATCGGCAGGCAGGTGTTCAGCCATCTCCAGGAAAGCAGGGCTCCATCACGCATAACGGTTACTTTCTTTTGGGAACCCCATCCCTCCAAATGTCCCCCCCCCCTCCTTCTTCTTCCCCCAGCCTTATATGCTGAGCATGATGTCATATGGTATGGAATAGCCCGTTGGCCAGCGGGGCCAGCTGTCCTGGCCACGCTCCCTCCCAGCCCCACACACACCTGGCAGGGCATAGGAAGATGAAAAGTCCTTGACTAGCGTAAACATTACTTAGCAACAACTAAAGCATCAGTGTGTTATCAACACTATTCTCATACTACATCCAAAACACAGCACTATACCTGTTAATAGGAAGAAAATCAACTCCATCCCAGCTGAAATCAGGACAGACAGAAAACCTAAAAGCTCAATGTGATCTAGGTATGAATATCAAATAAAAACAATCTACTTCTACCTTTTTTCCTCATTTTTCTCTCTATATTCTAATGACTTGTATCTGTTTTTTTAAATTAGATTACAGATATTTTGTTCTTCTAATTTTTGCATTTTAGTTCAATTTTTCTCAATGCTGATGAATTTTATGTCTCCACATAACAGCTGATGTTATGTCTCCACGTAACAGCTGATGAATTTTATGTCTCCACAGTGCTGTACACCAGGAGTTATTGGGTTTTGGCATTCTTTCCCTCTCTTTAACCCTATGGCATCTTGACCTAATTATATTTCCCTTATATGGGAAACAATTTTAGCAGATGCCTGTAGAAAGAAATCTATAGGAGAACTTTTTTTAATTCAAAAATGTATAACCAAAGCAAAGACAAATATATTCCCAGAGCAAAATTCAGCTTTAGCTCATGATTTTGCTAGTTTATGTAGGAGTTTGTTAATACAAACCATATCATATGCAGCCTGAGAGTGGAGGCTTAGATACAAAGAGAGCTGCTTTCTGGTGAGACCTGTACAAGATAAGACAAGCCTGGGGTGAAGAGCAAAAAACCCATGCTTCCTTAGTCTACATGTCACAAGGTAGTGGGTGACCCAAACTTTGAATGACCCAGCTTAGATCCCAGGAATAATATGGCAGTGCAGCTAGAAAACTGACCCTGCTGAGGATCAAGATAGATTGCCAGAAGTGGAGTACCGTGGTTTTGCTTGCTGTATCTGGGTATTTTTGTCTGGACTTTTCTTAGTTATTTTTGCATGTACTTTGTATCAATATGCCAGATTTTATTTTAGAGGAAGTTGGAAATATGCAGTGTGTCAGGTAGATTGGTGTGCATTAGCAGGTGGTCTCTAGGCCGAATCCAGCCTGAAGGATGCATCTATCCAGTCTATCACCCTTTTCCTCCCAGAGGAGGTGGGGATGCTGTTCAGACAACAAATGCCTCTTCAGTAGCTGAGTGCAGTCCCTGGCCTGTACTCAAAGGTGAATGAAGGGAGACGGGTGGCTGTGCTCAGCGCTTTGGGGAGTGCCGACAGGGTCTCCTTCCTCCATGGGCTCTCCCATAAGTAAAATTTATTACACATTTAATCAACTTCCTATTTTCACTGTCCAAACAGACTTCTGCAAATACTCCTGTTATACTGCAAAATGCAGCTGGCAATTAACAAATATCATTCTGGACCAAACTGGTTTTCTCATGGTTCTGAAAAGTTTATTTTGTAGTTTTAGATCCTTTTTAATGCAGTATAAGACAAAGGTAACATAATAACTAGACTAGATAGGCTATGCTTCTGTGAACAGTAGCCTAATCAGAAGCTTTAGCTGAGTCCCTGTAAATCTTTTGATCTGTAATACATATAAGAAAAACCTCGCTTTCTAGAAAAATAAAAGCTTTTGTTGGAATTGGTCCAGCCTAGAGAATGAGACTCTTGGTATATTTTTCTTTAGGTAGGTAACAGAAAATTTTCCTTATTGACTGGTAGAGAAGCAAGTAATGTCAATTTTCCCAGAGTTTTGTCAGATTTCTTGGTGGAGAGGATTGGAAATACAACCTGTGGGGATTTCTCCTCTGCCTCTTCCCAAGCAGTTTGTGGAGTTTTAATTCTGAAAAGAGCTTCACAGCCCTGAACAACAATTTTTTTGTTTGCTCTTGACATTATCTAGTGGGTTTCCAGCTGCTGATTCAGAGAACTGCAGTCTTTTCTCTATTTTGGGGAGACAAATGACATCACCTAAAGTGATTCCTCTGCTTTTCTTTAGCCTATTCTCCAAGGTTTTCCATAACCTTTGTCCATGAACAAGCTTGCAGTGCATGAACACTTTAGCAGCCCTTCATATTTATATCATGATTGATGGCAAACTCTTAGTTTTGCTGAGGAAACAAGTATTAACATATCTGATAATTTTCCAATACTACCTGTTTTATTCCATTTCCTTGAGCATTATCTACATGCTAATTTCTTTATGATATACTCTCTATCCCCTCCTTTATTGCCTTTTATCTTAGGAGCTTGTTTTAGGGTGATACTTTATTCAGACTATAGATTAGCATTTGGGAGTTAAGAGTCATGGAATCTGTTCCTGTTTCTGTTGAAAAACTCCACGTGACCTTGGACAACTCATTTTTTCCAACACTTTTCTTATTTTAAAAGAACTATAGTCAGGTTTGTCTTGCAAGGGAGCCTTAATCAGTGGTAATGTCCTTTACAATACAAGGCTCTCTACTGGAGAATTGTGGCATTCTTTTTTCCCTTATCTCTCTTCTATGCTTTCTCCCCTCCTTTTTCCTTTTCTTGTTTATTCTTAAACTCTTCTCTTTTCATTCCAAATCTATTAGAACTATAGCAAGAAACCCCTGCATAATTTAAAATCTATTACGGAGTATTTAATTTGCTTTCCGTACTAATTTTGTTGTAAGATGTGCCAAAAATGTGCTTTCTTTGCATTATGAAATTAAATTAATACATTTACCTAGTAATTAATCATTTAAAACTTATTTTTGTATAATCTTTTTCCCTTTGCTTTTCATGCTAGTCCATATACAGAGGATCTCCGGTTTGTACGATGGTTCTATGTAATTTTTATTGTTCTTTCTGCTTGAAATGAAATAATACTTCTACAAATAATAGCATGCAATGGTCTTAAAAATCTTTCATTACCTATAGCTATACTTGACTAAAAAGTGAAATTGCACCATTCAATTATTTTTTTAATTAAGAAACTTTTATTTGATTGCAAAAATGCATTGAAAATATAAAATCTATTTGAAATGCATTTCATAATTGTTATCATTCCTTGTGTGTGGTAATAACACGTTTTCTTTCCTATATAGATTAAGCTTGTCAACATAAACTCAACCGATATTGCTGATGGCAGGCCTTCTATTGTGCTTGGCTTGGTGTGGACCATAATTTTATATTTTCAGGTACTACATTTTTTATACATCAGTGTAGCATGCTCAAATAATGGTTCAGATCATCATTTCATATGAACTGGTATAGTTCCAGTCTTTCACCATAGCTAAGTCTCTTTATAATTAGCTGAGGATCTGATGCTGAATAAAGCAACAGTTGATGTTAGGAGTGCTTCATGTTGGGTAAAATTAGATACTTGTCTTCGGAATAGATTGGTCTGGGCCTAAAATGGAGTTCCTTCATCACTGGAACATATTCTTCCACTTTCTTTGAGGAATACAACAGAGCAACAGAAGAAAAGAACAGAATTATGGATTCATGGTACAAGTACCTTTAGCACCCTCAGTGGTGACTGTGCTGTATGTCTAATTCCAGTGCGTTTGATGTCAGACAGTAATTATTTTCAAAGAATACATGTAAACATGCTTATTTCACTGGGAGATGCAGAAATTTGCAAGGACAAAATTTAGCTGTGAATGGTGTAGATTGAGAAGGATTTGAATTTGTAGAGGAGAAATCATTTGCATTCTGTTGAAATTAGGTGGGAGGGAAAAACGGTTTTCCTGTACATATGAGTTAACAAAATGAGTCATTGCTCAACAATTAAAAAAACAACTGATTTTGTTGCTCTTCTTTATGGAGTTCTTTGGCTTTGGCTCTCTTCTGGTGTAACTTTCATTTCTCAGGGATGCTGTTCTCCTAAGCACCAACCAATGTGATGCCTCAATGGTTGAGATCTCCTTCTCAGAAGAAAAATTAGCGAGAATGATGTTAACGTTTTTATTTTAATTTGTAGCTCATTGAGATGAATGGGGAAAATTATGCTTCTCAGGGTTACTGAAACTCTGGTTCTCTGCATCAGTTTTACGTGCGTCATTTTTTGAGCTTTTCTGTAGTTGTCACAGGCAGATACACCATTTTAACATGAATGAAAGCAGAAATGCATGAGAGCTGTGGTTCTCATCGTGGCAGACTCATTCTGTGATGTGACAAAACTTTGTTTTTTAAGTAGGCAGCATAGACAATCTTGCAACATCCTCTGGATATAACTTTTTCATGTTAAAAAACCAAATTGTTAGTCAACTTAATGGTCTTAAAAGAATCAAGTTAATAATTTTCATTTGATAAAGGCATGATGCAAATAACTGTCATACACCCTTGGCAAGCACTACTGATGCACTTTGCCTGCAGTACATTCACTATTCCTTCACAAGGTACCTCTAAAGCCACAATTGAATTTGTGCCAAAACAGTACAATGGTAAATAAAGAACTATTCAGATGAGATCATTGAGGTCACTTCCATTCTTTAATTGAATAAGCATCCTCTGAAATTAGTGGATTGTTTTATATTTGAATTCAAGCTAAATGTAAGACATTGTCTCCTATTTCAATGGTAATTTGTCATTATAGATAACATGACACACATGCATATTCTTCTAGCTGTAGGGTGTTAAGAAAGTCAAAGATTGCTAGATGTCTTGTACTTCTGAAATTAAGACCATGGTCTGGGCACATGTTAGTTTATGTTAGTTTAACATTTTTTAAGCTACTTTAATATACAGTTAAATAAGACACAGCATGTTAATCATAGCTTCTGCCCAACTTTGTCAGTTTATTAGGAAATTATTTGAGAAACTGGTGAGAAGTAAGAAGATTACAAACAGTCCATTAATATTTTTCCCCCACAGATTGAAGAGCTTACCAGCAACCTCCCACAGCTGCAGCCATTGTCTAGCAGCGCTTCTTCTGTGGAGAGCGTTGTCAGTTCAGAAACTGCGAGTCCCCCAAGCAAACGGAAGGTGGTAACCAAGGTCCAAGGAAGTGCCAGGAAGGCTTTGTTAAAATGGATACAGTACACGGCAGCAAAGTAAGTAACCTACAAATGAACTGAATTTACATCTTAAGTGCAAAGGTTTTCTTCAGATTCTAAACTCTCTCGGTCAGGGATTGTCCTTTTGCTCTGTATTTATATATCACCTCCCTGTGATCATGTTCTTTTTGACAACTGAGGCTGCTAAATGTTACCACCATACAACAAACAAATAATAAAAAATTATTTGCATTAATTTTACAAGCAATCATATTTTATAGTTTCTGAATAATGAATGGGATTATCTTTGACAGAATGAGGAACTGAAAGGGGAATTAGATGTCTGAATTACAATGTATTGGTCCTGCTGCCAAAACACTCAATGTGACAATGCAAGTCCCACACGACTTAGCGTTCCGCAGTGACGGAGCTTGTAGGAGCAGTAAATTCTGGCAGTTGCTGTTGAAAGGCAGGTGATGAAAAATTATGAATATCATTCTGCAGTTTTGTGATACAAGGGACATATTACTATAAAAATTGTCCTGAATTTTCATTCTTTTTAATCCAAGTTATTTTGGAGTTATTTCTTGCTACCTCTTCTTAACTTAAGAATTTTCTCCTTTATTTGGTATAATTATCCCACATTTGCTCTGTTTCCAAAAAGGCATTAAAAAAAAAGCATAAATTAGATGAAAGATACAATAGTAGTTTTCTGGATTCCACAATAAGAAAATAAAAATCAAAGATGTAAAAGAATAAAATGGATTTATTTGTTCAACTTAAGGAATCACTGCTATATGAAGAGATCAGTCATGTGCAAAATGTGGAGGGGAAATGGCCAATTATGGAATGTTGCCTCAGAGAAAAGAAATATAATTGTAAAAATACAAACTTTCTCCAGTTCTCCAATAAATAGGTAGAATACGGTAATTTATAGTGCAGTACAGTCTAATTTGGCATTTTTCCTATTGCACTGTTGTCAGTAAGAGACAGGCAACTGAAAGTGGTCAGCTGCAATTTCCAGACATGTAAACAAACAAAATACAAAGAGTTTAATAAATGAAACTGTCAACATTATGGAGAAGAGTAGGTGAAACCTGTGGAAAGAAGCCTAGAGGAAGGATGGTACACTTTGCCTAGCCCTGTAATTTGCAAGGGCTAGCTCCTTAAAGTCAGTGAAAGTGTTTCACTGATCACAGTGAGCTTTGAATTAAGCCTTCATTCAGACTTACTGTTGCTGTGAACCTCCCAATGGCAAGACTACCTTAGTGTCTAAGTGTGTCCTCAAAGACAGTTTGCGTGCTCAAAGTAAAAAAACAGTCAAGCAGTCTGTGGATGACCATACCTTTCAGAATTACTTTTAAAAGAAGCAGTCACAAGTGTGATTCAGTTCTGATTATTTTCTCATTGTATATTGCTATTTCTTGATCATTTGTGTTTATTTTTTAGTGGATGCATAAGTGTTCTGGGTGTATGAAATTATAGTATCACTCATGCTTTTGGTAAGAATACAAAGAAATTTGTGTGTTACATTTTCACCTGAACAGCAGTGATGTCGCTGTTCATGCTTTCATTTTAAAAGATAACAGATTAATGCAGTCTTTTTTTATTTTTTGGTATGATACTGATGTTCCTAACTGAACTGCAGTAGTTATAATGGAGGGAGATATGAAGTGCTTTATAGTGAGGGAGAGAATAGTGAATGGAGCTGTGTACATCCACAGACTCTGTGTGTGTTGTACAAGAACCTTGAGAACCTTGGTGCATTTTGTTTGTTCAGAATGCCATTGGCTTATTGCCACTAGTAAGCCCACTGGAGACAAACACAGTATGTATATGACTTGGATCTTCATAGGCAGAAATTAATTTATGCAGCGGATGGATGGAGCTGTAATCAACTTGATTGGCATTGCAGGAACAACAGGTGGTTATTTAGGTTTAATGATGGGTAGTCACTGGGTGGAGCATCCTGTCTCCTTCCCTATTTCATCTAGTCCTGATGTTGCTGTAAGTCACTTATTTTTTCTTCTTTCATATTCTTTAGGCAAGCTGGAATTGAGATCAAAGATTTTGGACAAAGTTGGAGGAGTGGTGTTGCATTTCATTCCGTTATTCATGCTATCCGCCCAGATTTAGTGGACATGGAGAAAGTGAGGGGAAGGTCAAATAGAGAAAACCTGGAAGAAGCCTTCACACTCGCAGAAGCAGAACTAGGAATTCCAAGGCTCCTTGATCCAGAAGGTACCTAATGCATAGTTGAAAAATGTTTGAACTACTTGCATGGGTTAAATCAGATGCACTATTTCATAGTGTTTAGACATTTAAGCAGCATTTTGTGCCATTCAGCTAAAAATTAATTTACCGTGTTCTATACTTGTCTAGATGTGGATGTTGACAAGCCAGATGAAAAGTCTGTCATGACCTATGTAGCCCAGTTTTTGAAGTACTATCCTGATCCTCATCATACAGTGACTGATGTGCAGGACAATGATGTAAGTTTCTCTTGCATAACTACACAAATCAGTTTATTATGAGGGGGGCTTTATAAATACATTTTATAGCTCTCTTATAGTTTATTATGTTTCCTTTTGATGAGCAGTTCAAGTGAAAAGCAAGCACAATAAGAAAATTGGGAAAGATTAGCTGAGAATAATGGAACCAGTGTTGCAGATGTTTACTAGTAGATGGAGAAAATAAAATGGTGATCCTGCAGAGATTTTCCTGTTTTCAGCAGCAGGAGCCAAAAAGAACACAAACCGTTATTATAGATAGTAGCAAAACAATGGATCCTGAAGTACCCTAAGAGGTTTTCGAGCATAACACCAATGAGATTGCAATAATTTGTTACCTGAAGCAATGCGTCACTGCTGTTTCTATCACACTGGGTTTCTGGGTAAGAACAAGAATAGTCCAAGAGATTGCTTAGGTACAGTCTTTGGGCTTTTAGGCTTGGGAGGCAGTTAGAGTTTTGACACAGGTTTCTTTCTATTGCACAGTGATGTTTGACTATTCACCTTAAGGAATTGTTTCCAGTCATGGTTTTTCCTTGTTTTTTTGTTTTGTGTATGCTCTAGTGCATTGGCTTTGCACTAGAATGGCTATACTCAGTGATGCCAAGTGATCATGACTCACTTCCTAATCCTGATCGTTTGCTTTCTTCATGGCAAACACAGGAAACTCTGCTGAGACAATCTGCTCAGCCCCAGCAAGAGAGCAAAAGGAAGCACTTTTTATTTGTGTTTCTTTGCATTCCTTGCAGAGCTATAGAAGAGCTTTGAAAGGAGCAAATCTCCTTCCTTACGACTATGTGTAGCTAAGGCAGCTGTAGCTTTGCTGTCTGATTCCAGTGCCTGAGCACTGGAATTTTTCATTTTCCTGCAACATTGGTCTGAGGACATACGTGTGCCTATGCCTCAGCATCCCATTGAGCAATGGGGCTGCTGAAGCAGAAGGAGCGAGCACTAAAGCCTCATGCTGAGTCCCGTCGTCTTCATACCATGGCACACAATGCAGTTCCAGCCTCAGCCAGGTCTGCTGCCTGTGCTGGGGTTGGATTTTGAGGAACAACCTCACCACCTTCTCCTAAGCTTTATGCAGACATGATTCAGGAGAATGCAGGACTCAGCCACTCCACACTCTGCCTGCCTCTGGCTATACCCACAGAGACAATAGCACATGAGCTGCGAAAGGGAAACTACTGAGTTGCCTCCAGAATTTCCAGTGAATTACTAGGAAGTGAAACAACACAAATTCATCAATTTGACATGCTTAGCTCAAGACCACTTCCTCTTCCTAGATATCACTAAGATATTCCAGTAGCAATCCAGGTGAATTTTGGTAGAACCGCTGGTCCCCTGCATGTCACACTGCAGAAACTAGTAACTCCCAGACTTTGAGAAGAAAGTAAGAGTTTGACATTGCACTAAATTTCTAATGTCATCATTCTTTGTTTCCTTGAGGAAGAATTATATTCCTGCTCTCACCCCTGATGGAGTGCCTGGCAGTTTGAGACAAACTCCACTTCTCCAGTGGAGTCTGCAGCCAAGAATAGCAATGGGGCCCTCAATTTTTTCTGACACAAATTCTAATAATCCATCTCAGGAGAAATTCTCATCCCTGTCAGGCACCTATGTCTACTCTATACCTCGCTCCCTAGTCCGGTCCACCATAACTTCCAATTCCCTCACCTCTGGTCATGGTACAAAATGATGACCACATGGCATGTGATAGGTTGATGGGAAAGCGATCTGGATGGATCCAGGCCAGTAAGCAATGCAGAAAAAATCCAGGGCCCCAAGTAGTCACTGGCCCTGAAACAGTGAAATACATAGAAAAAACAGCACAATGCTTTCATCTATTTGGGACTGGATAGATGTAAGCTCTCAAAACCTAAACTTTTGGCACACTTTGGTCTTTTATTACTTTAAACTTTTGTATTTCTGTCATATATCACAGAGAGAAGTTTATTTTGCGCTCGGCTGCTTTACTTATGACTTTTCAGGGGGAATTTGTCAACAGATAATAAAATTTCTCATACTCAGAACTTGCATTTTAAGATATTTGATCTGTTCTCAAGAAAACCATAATGATAGGTTTGGCAGACTATCATATACAAATTCCAACAAATGTTAGGACCTTAGTTTACACAGTTCTGGAGGGGAGGGTGAAAAAAGCCAGGAGTTAATGCAGTTGATCCTGTTGATAGCAGGATACCTAGATGAAACAAGACATCCAGATAATCCTTGGCAAAATAAGTGTGTCATTCATATTACATGATACTTATGGAGACATTCTAGTGCTGAAAATCCAACAATGCAGTTTAAAAACATACAGACATAAGTATTGTATTCCATATCTATACAGTATTTGAAGGGAAAATTGAAAAGAAATTCTCAATCAAATGTTTTGTAATCAAATATCTTGTGGAGTTTTTTTTCACTGAGTGCTTTCATATCTTTTAGCCCAAATTCTTAATTGCGTATGGAGTGGAGAAAATTAGGCAAAGGATCATTTAAATCACCGGGTTAAGTAAGGCTATCACAACAACAGATCCAAATTGATAGTGTTGCCAACAGGTCAAGGGAGGTTGCCGGCTGGTGAGGATATACTTGGAGCACAGTGTCCAGCTCTGGGCTCCTCAGTACAAGAGACCTGGACATATTGGAGAGCGTCCAACAAAGGGCCACAAGGGTGATGAAGGGACTGGAGCATGTCTCCTATGAGGAGAGGCTGAGAGAGCTGGGACTGTCCAGCCTGGAGAAGAGAAAGCTCAGGGGGGATCTTACCAATGTGTATAAATACCTGAAGGGAGAGTGCAAAGAGGACAGAGCCAGGTTCTCTCAGTGGTGCCCAGTGACAGCACCAGAGGCAATGGGCACAAACTGAAACTCAGGAGGTTCCCTCTGAACATCAGGAAATGCTTTTTCACTGTGAGGGTGACTGAGCACTGGGACAAGTTGCCCAGCGAGGTATCTCCATCATTAGAGGTATTCAAAAGCTGTCTGGACATGGTCCTGGGCAACTGGCTCTAGATGTCCCTGCTTGAGCAGGGGATTTGGACCAGATGATGTCCAGAGGTGCCTTTCAACCTCAACCATTCTGTGATTCTGTAATTCTGTGACAGTATTTAAGAGCATAGTTGCTATATTCAAGATTTTTTTTAATGAAACAGCGACAGTAGAGGTTTTGCAATGCAAGAGGAATACTCTTTTCTAAATGGTATCATACAAGAATGGAGATTTAAATTCCCTTAAAAAAGATAGAAAAATGGATTCTGTTTATAAGAGCAAGAACTATTTTCTTTAGTACTTAAGGAAACATTCATGAACTTATCACTTTGCAAATTTAAAGGAAATCCTTTTTGATTTTGCATCTTCTTCTAAATAGAAGTAACTGCTTGGAATCATAGTATGGCAACTGACTTTCTTGACCACACAAGCCATTTAAGTGCCTTTTTTTAAGCCCTTTCTGCACCCATGGTTATTCTAATATTCACCTTGCTAAATTAATTGACTGGAAAAAATGTAAAGGAGAGAGTACTTCTTTTCTCAGTGCACAGAGCTGGCAGTGAATCAGATACGAGATATTTGTGTGACTATATAATCCATTTAGATTGAAAATTCATTTATTCTTTTTCAAGTGTTGTCCACAGGTTCTGTTCTAGGTATACAAATATATGCAATATCAGACCAAACATGTAAGATTGATTCATTTTAAAATAGCCCTTTTGTGTTTTGTGGAAACCATGTAAGTGAATTGGATGCCCTTGTGATCACCATAGCTAACAGTACAAGGTAGAATAGTATCTATTGCCTCTTTCTTCCCTCTTACTGACCTGGAGTATCCATGTCCATCATAAAGCTTTCCTTAGAAATTTTGCATTATTTGGTTAGTTTAGATATTTAGGACAGGATTCATCCATTTCGAAGAATCTAAAAGCTAGGTACTTACACTCCACCTGTAATCAGCGAGAGATAGATCCTTTTCCAGATGGCATCTTTCTTAAGATGGTGTCCTAAACAAACTGTCTTCTGGAAGTTCGTGTTGCATAGCATTTCAACAGAGTTAAAACTGCCTCAGATGAATCCTTCCCTTAGGAAATGATAGATAAAATATTGTTGACAGTTGATTAAAAAGAAATCCAGACACCCTTTATATTTTTGTGACTGGTATAATCCCCCTATTCTTAGCCTTTCTGTCTTCCCCCTGAAGTCTAGTATAAGGAAATAGTATCACAGAATGGGAGAATCCAGGTACTTGGGAGAGAGAACCTTGCAAGACTCAGGTACTCTTAATTTCTTGCTTTCTGAAATTAAGCACTTTTAGGGTGTATTCCATCTGACCTGTGTTAAGTGCCTGGTGTAGAATGAGATGAGTTGGGCAGTAAATGCTAGATGCAACTGTTTCGTTCTATGTCAGAAAGAACGGAAAAAATTACTATCTCAGTTGCAGATGCCTACATTTAGTTAGAAGAATCCTGCTTCGGAGTGAAGTGTGTCTGAGTGGCTTTTGTTGGGGGGGGAAGGATTTCTAACCCTTTCCCCCTGCCCTTCAGCCAACTCAGCTGCCCCTGTGTTTCCTCAAGATGTGTTGTCCACGCAAATTCCTATTCATCTTCCCTCCTGATTCAATGCTCAGTTTTTAAGGAATTTACATTGGAAGACGTGGAGTAATGCTTGAAGCTTATCCCTTTTTTGTGGTCAGAGGGGACAGCTATTTGCATGCACATTTCCAGAATTAAAAGGGATCTAATATCTCATGCATGAACCAGCTATGCACATATGTGAAATTGTGTAGTCAACACATCTCAAAGAATCAGTTACTCAAGGTAAGTAACTATTTTTCCAGGTGAAATAAATCCTGTAGTGACTAGTAATCTGGAAATCAGATCTAATATGAAAAGTACTTCACTAGATATGATACAGACACATGAACTTGATAATATTTTAAGTATATCTTGTATACTTACACATGTGGCTGTTTTATTGTTCTCTCTGGACTTTCTGCCTGCTTTGCTTTATTTTGTATGCTTTTTTTCTCCCCCCCTTCTTCTTCTTGTTTTCGCATTTGTTTCATATTGCTAGGAACTTCAAGCAATCCCAACTTTTGTCATTTCTTTTGTGAAATTTAAGGTAAGGGTAATATGCTCCGGAAGAATTGCTTGAATTGGACTTCCGTGCTTGTTATCTGTTTTTATCCTGCACTTATTTGACTTCAGATTTTGGTGTTTTTATGTACATTGGTTTGCTAGCCTTACGTTAATCTTTCCAAAAAAAGCAAATAGATGAACATAAGAAGTGTAAGTCTACCTTCTTACATGAGCTGATCCTAACAGCCTAATGCTTATTTTTGCAAATAATTTCACAGAAATATTATAGAAAAGCAAGTCAACTTTCCTGTAATAAATCTCAGACTATGCTTTTGGTTTTCTTAAGTATGGATATAAACATGAAAAAATAGATTATAAATCAATGAAAAAATAGATTATAAATCAATGATAGTTTCTACTCATCTAATGTCATTTTAGATGGATATTTTTGTATGTCTTTAGGTTTATAGAGTAGGTACTAGATTGTATACATGATTGTGCAAGTGATATATGTGGACCGTGTGTTGGAAGGAGAGAGCATTCATGTGTAATTGCATGATATGCACTGCTCCTTTTTTTCACATAAATTAGGATATTTTTAAAAACATAGTTTTTTAATCATCTCAGACATTTAGATACTTATAATTGTCTAGTATTAACTGAGAGAAGTTCAGAAATCTAACATGGAATATTTGAAATGAACATTCAGAGATGAAACCGGAAGACTATAGTGCTTATAGTTTGACCTGATCCAATTAATTACCTTGGTTCCACACTCATTTTTGTGTGGGATTTTGTTTTTTTTTAAATATATAAGCAATATGTTATTTTCAAGTAAATATGATGAAGGTTCCATCTTATATTATGTATATCTAACTAGTGATATGTGTTGAAGTGACGATTAATACTGATAGACTCAATCCGTTCAAGCAAGTTTGGACAGCTTTAATGAGACCTTGTGGTACATTCTTAGCCTTACACAGCCCCAGTGCATGCTGCTTAAGCTAGTGAAGATTTGAAATGGTAAAAGCTCTGTCAATTTCTTTGTCTTGGTATAAATTTAGCTATAGAGGAAGCACTCTCCTTCAAAGTATTTCTGATGTAAAGTCTTTTTCTTCTTGTGCTCTAATGAGCAAGTAATTCAGAAGATAATCCTGTCATGTCCAACATCTTTATGCCAGCTGAGTTCCCCAATGTAAGAGGAATTTCCTGAGCAGAACCTGCAAAAATAACTGAGCTCTTCCAGTGATTTACTGTCTGCTTTTACAGATAGGCATTAATAGCTCATCCCTGAAGATGATGCTTGGCTCAGCATTCACCATGTGTCTGTGATACTTTTGTCAGTGAACGTGTTTCAGTAACACATAGACACACAAACATCCAGTAACGCATATATACAAGCCAGTTTTCAAAAGAAATAGCATAATTAATTGAATTCATGTATAAACATTTTTAAAGAGACTTGATTTTCTCAGCACATAGGCAATACAATAGTTCAACATCCCTGAAAAACAGGTGACTTAATTTTTTTAGATTTAAAAGCTCATATTTGAAAAATCTATCCTGCCTGTGCCTGAGAATTTGAACAGTTCACCTGGTGTATAATTGCATATTAGAGAACCCAAGAAAGTACTCCTTTTACAGTCCATAATTAAATTTCTCATGAAATACAGATGTGAATTTTTAGATCTTCAAACATCAAAGTATGCTGTATTATGTAATTTTCAAATTAACTCTGGCATATCAGTTAATAAAATAATGTTTTAACTTTGAGTCTGGGCTGAAAACTTTCTTTGTAAATTTAAATTGTACTCCCTTATCATGTTGGAACACATAAACACTTTTCTCTAATTACCTTCTTTGATGTTCTTTGGCAGTTGAGTGCTCCAGTTCTGTTTATCTCTGCTAATCAGTGAATATGCATAGAATGGTGTCAGTATAAACTAATATTTTAAAATGCTGTTTGGAAGTAGCATGCAGAAAATAAGTCATAGTGGTTTAGATAAATTGAAATAAATGTGATCAGAGGTCAATGATCCTCATACCAGGGAAAGCACAAATAGTTATAATTATCCTAGATAACTTTTCTTTGATGGTTTATGTTCTGATCGGTATGCTACTTCAGATGTGCAGACTTTAGAAAATAGTTTACATATCTGTAAGAATATCCTTTTGATATTTTTTTTACTAAGAGTAAGAACCACTAGGCACTGATGAAAGTCTTGTTTTAAGAATGATAGCTCATTAAACTTGGGGAGTGTTGGTGACAAGGTGTCCAAGAAAGTGAATCTTTTATGTCAGATACTCAAACTGAGATTTTAAAATGCTTTTTTATCAATCAGGGACCACAGAACCAAGTTTGCCGGTGATAAGTGATGCACTGAACTGGAAACCTGTGAAAATGTATGAATAAGTAAATAAAATGCTTATCATGCGTTGTTGCACAGTGTCTTTAACAGCATTCAGTTAGGCAGTTACTGAAACACCTAAATCTTCTGCAATTAAACAAAATAAACAAATTATTGTCTAACTAAATAGTAAAAAAAAAAAAACAAAACACAGAAGACTCAATGCCACCTGTTAACTTTATCTTTTCATTTAATGTCAGAGAAATGGTATGTGATTTAAGAGACGTGTGGCTGTTTCTTTGTTCTTTATCTTCAGGTACCATAGAGGTGTTCTTGATCCCGGTGATACTCTATTTCAAAAAGATTTGGTCAGACCCAGTTTTAGCCATTATGAAATTTTTAAGCTATGTTGACAGGAATCTTGCAAAATACCTATTTTGCTGACATTGCTGTATGAACAGTTGCAGCCATGCAGATGTTCTTCTTGCAAAGACTTACCTTAAGGAGCTGTTTCTCAGCAATAAGAACATGAGCTATAGAGGAATAAAAGCCAGTGTTCTAGAAAAATGAATTTATAGTGTGAACTAAAACTAATATACACAACATTGTGACACACTTATTCTCTTCCTGACTTCAAGAATATCTTGAAGTTTCAGTTAGTAGGATTGTTATAGGTCTTTCAATCCATTAAGGTGCATAGTTTAGTATTGCCTTTATGAACCTGACAGCTAAATACTAATAGAGATCTCAAGTCTCGCTAAAGTTATGACTTCTAATTAACAGAGTGCATTTAATACTAAAGTTCTTTTTTTGATGGCTGAATGAGTTAAGAATTCTCTCTTATATTCTTCTGCTCATAGGGGAGTAGTCCTGGCTTTGCTGTTTATCTCAAAGAATCTTGATGTTCTTTTGTCACACACAGAGCCAACTATCAGACCAGAAGAGTAGGGATTTTATTCTCCTTCTCTATATTTAAATGATTTGAGAAGTTGGAAGCACTAGGAGTTTTGGCTTCTTGAGACATTGTGTGCAGTCAAGGAAATCCCAGCATTACAAATATCTGGAGCAGGGAAGTGTCATATGTGTCCTATACTGTTTCTCAGGTACCAACTTTTGGTGAGTGTCAGAAGACAGGAGCATGAGCTATAGTGAACTTTGTTCCAGCACAGCTGCTCTAATATCATGTTAACCTCACTGCAGCTACCCAGCTAAGAATTTACCTAGTGAGTTAACAGATATAATACCTGTGATATTTGCACATCTGCTGTGCAAATCCTGTCCAACCGACTACTGCTGTTTTGAGTAGAGGATCAGTAAGAGAATTAGTAGAAATACATCAAAGAAGGGTTTCTTTCCTATCTGAGGATCCTGTCCTTTCCTCAGCTGAAATGAAGCATTAGCTCTACGCTTTTAAAATTATTAAGAGAAGTTATATTTTACATATTTGAGGCAGCTTTCAAAGAAAGGAACCATAGGATCCTTTCTTAAAAGAAAGTACGTTGTTTCTTAAATACAGCCAGTGGCTATTCTTTTTTATCACATAGTCCAGTTCTTCTCTCATGTAATGCTTGAAACTTAATCACTCCTTTTAGCTGATTAACTCATATGATGTGGTGTTGCATTTGTTCTCTGTAATAGATCTGTTTCTGACAAATTTTACAGTAATATGGCTTCTTTCGTTTCAAAGAGTAGCTTCAGATTAACAGCCAGCATATATGGTTCATTGTTTGGAAATCTGAGACAGACACTTTTATCCTACTTGGTTAGCCTGCTCACACAGTGCACAGAAAAACTTTCTGTTGTCTGCTAACCTTCTCATATGATGCGCTCACAGACCTGAGGTTTCCTGTTAGTATTTTTCTATTCACTGCCAGGTCACTGAATTCTGCACAGAACTTTGCAAAGCACCAGTGCCATGACAGACTGAGGTGTTAAAGCAAAACTGTAAAACAAATATGCTGTTCTTCAAAGCCATAAAATGGCATGGAAGGAAAATAAACTGAATACAATCAGGTTTTCTTTCTTTCTTTTCATTTTCCTTGTTAAAACATTCTCTATCAAAATATTTTGCCAACTTCTGAACTTGGAGCTTGATATCAAGGATTGCCCTGAAGTCACTCAGAAAATAACTTTTTTTTCAGCAACAGCAGACCAGATAGTAAAATGGTGGTAAAAGATGATAAAATCCTCTCCTGTCTCAGCTCAATTAACTTTTACTGAAAATTGACTCTGCAAATATGTCGAAGACTAAAATTTGCTGTTGAGGTGCATTTAAAGGACTTTGTTTTAATTTAACATCAGATGAGAACTACAAGTAATATCTCTGACACGGCAATGTCCCAAACTGTTGTGATTTCACCACTGTAAGACTCATGCCTAGATGCTGAGTTCTCCTCCTATTCTCAGGAAGTGCTTTTCAGTTAGACTGTATGAAGGTAAGTGATGAGAGAATTGGGCCCAGATGTTCCATTGGCTTTCACTACAGCTAATGACCTTGACTTGCTAGAGAGATGTTAATTTCTGAACTATATCTGACACTTCTACTGATAGGCTGCAATGTTTTTTTTGCATGTGTGGTTGTACTAAATCATAGAAGGAAGACAGACTGATGCTGAGAGACCTAAAAGTGTGGGCAGAACAATTTGAAAGAGACTTGGCCCGAGCACAGGTGGCAGAAACAAGTTTACAGGAGAAATACCAGGTAAGCAGTAGGAAAATTTCGTATGATAAGACATTATTGTCATCATTATGTGTAACACATATTGCAGTATTTTATGCAATCTGTATATATGCAAGTCAGTATATTGTAGTTTAAAGAAATAAGGACACAAACTGTCTTTCCTTTTATTGGTGGAGGAATTATAATGTCAGCTCCGGCTTTGCTACGTATAACAGTGCACAGATGGTTTGCCTGAGACAGAGCTGTTTCTAGCAGTGTGAAGAAGGACTGTCCTAGTTAGAAGTGAGCATGTGTCTGCACAGTCCTTCCAGTTCCTGCATGATGTAGCTCAGATGGGAGGTATGACTGAAGGCTGCATGAGGTGACAGGTGGAAAGGACAGGGCTTAGAGCTTCATTTTTAACCCCTCTCTCAAAGGTTAATGTCTAAAGCGGCAATATAAATTTTGGCCTAAATTTTCTCCCTGAAGCTCGGCTGTTCTCTAAAAGCAGCCACTGTCTGTCCCAAGTAGCATTTAATCAATTTGGTAGTTTATCTGATCAATTATTAATTTCTTTCATATAGGGTTCAGGCATCTAATAACTGAAGGGAAATACAAAAGTCCTACCTATACTTCCCAGGGGGATTCTACAGTCTATTAAAACCTTTAATAAAATGCGTTTCAGCATCAATATACAAGTTTACCACTACTCCTCTTTGGGAAGGATTAGGTCTTCTATCAGTACAAAATTATCATAGGTTGTAGTACTCCATAAATGTTGAAGAATTTCATTCTTTGACTCTGCACCACATTTATTTGATTTTCTCTTTGTGCAGTCATTTAAGCATTTCAGAGTACAATATGAGGTAAAAAGGAAACAGATTGAACTTGCAACCCAGTCATTAAGGAAAGATGGTAAATTATCACTTGATCAAGCTATGGTGAAGCAAGCATGGGACAGAGTTTCTTCCAGGGTAAGTTGAAAATTATTATGCTTTATATTTTTTATTAAATGAAGGATGAGAATTTAAAATCATTTAGACATCTGTTTGCTATTGATTTTATTAGGCATTAGGAACCTAAAAATGAACCAAATTTCTAGCACTGTTGAATTATTTTGCATTTGTTTTGAGAACATATACTGCACTATCGTCTTTAATATTGCTCAAAGACAGAATATGAACTTTAAGAAAAGGACTATACTTTGAGGTTTCCCTTTATTTAAAAGTGTGTTAACAATGCTTAGCCAAGTTCAAAACATTGTTGATAAAAAGAAAAGCATGACAATGCCCCTTCAAAATGCAATGTTTTAATGTAAATTGCTAGAGTTATCTGAGAAATTCTAATATAACATTTTTTAATATAACTAAAAAATGTTTCTGTGTAATACTGGATACTTTATCAATAAATGAAGCTTTAATACTGTTTTTGACCTGGTTGCAATAGTAATAAATTAATATTAGTATTTGTGACAGTAATTTTGTAATAATTGAACGAAAAATCCCAAGTGAGTTATATTGTTTGTCCCAAATAAGTTATTAAATCATTATTACTCAGTGTATATTCATGGATCTTTTTTATGTCATATATTTAACAGAGGATCTGTTTAAAAATATTCTGGAGTTTTGACATAATTTTCATTATTTTTCACTCTCATAACTGGGATTCCTAATAAGATATGGTATTTTACCATATAAGATTACTATACTTACTATAAGATTGCTAATGGTATTTTACTGCTATATTCTTGATGCCACAATCTTTTGAGACTCATTTGCACTTTACACACAGAAAATATATTCAAAATAGAGGTAAAAAGATTTTATGCAAGAGCATGAAATAAATGATATTGGGAGGAAGAAGGTGTCACATCCCTTGCTGTGTCTATTAACTGATGAAATTCCAGATCTTTAGCTGTAGTTGTTCCAGTTTATATGTGGTCAGTTCTGTAACCCAGTTACCATTCTGGAAGGGAAATACATGAATCAATGAATCCTTATAGAGATTTTGTTGCCTGTGAGAATGCTATAATTTCAGAACTAATGTGAAGTAATATACTTAGGTTTATGTCTCAAACATACTCTGTTATGTGGGGTTTTGGTCTTACAGTATAAAGTCTGATTTTTCTCAAAATACTTGTTTGTATAATTAAGCAAGAAGGAAGTTCAATCCTCTTACTTTTATTTCCTAGCTACTTGATTGGCACATACACCTTGATAAATCTCTTCCTGCACCTTTGGGTACCATAGGTGCTTGGCTATATAGAGCAGAGGCTGCTCTGAGGGAAGAAGTAACTGTTCAGCAAGCTCATGAGGAAACAGCGAATATAATACACCGGAAGCTTGAGCAACATAAGGTAGATCTACATGCATTCATTCTGTGCAATATATTTCATTGTTTCCAAAGCTGTAAATGATCCATACTATACAAAGAAAGATTATTATTTCCAGTTTCTGTGGGTGGTGTCATCCTGTTGGTAGCTAAAGCTAGGTGTCTTTTAGTGATGACTTGAACTGTGATATCTGTGTATCTTACAAGCAATATTCAAAGTTGCTTTTGAATGTTCCTGCTTCTTCTACCTGAAATATATCAGGTATTAATATTTTAATTGTTCCCCTGTTCTAGGATTTCTGTTGGGTAAAATTCCATGGGGAGCTCATAAGTTGGGTACATTGTTCAACCAATAAGAACTTATTAGGTGAAACAGGAGACAGAGAACAAACATACTAAGTGTGCTGATAGTTAGTGCAGGTGATATTCACTGGGGGAAAAAATAGAATGAAGTGCATTTTCATAGTGTTGTCATGACAAATAGCATGAGAAGTCCCCTCTGCTGTGGTAAACAGGAAACTTTTCCCGATTAATTTAAATACCTTTGCCATTATTCTTTGTTGAGTCCAAGTTCTCATTTAAAATGAAAACTGTGAGGTTTGTCTGTGCATTTACATAACATATATGAAAAAAAAATAGACAGAAATTGTTGGTGAGATGATAAAAGAAATGGAACCAGTAAATATGATAAAGGAAAAAGACGGTATAGAGAAAGGCTGCACTTATGGCAGTAGGGCTGTATTTTATATTGCTCTTTTCCTCTATCGCTACTGTTTTAAAACTTAATTGTAATTTTGTTATTTTTTGTGTTTTGGATATGGGTGTGGTTTTTTATTAAAAAGTAATGCCCTACAGAAAGCTGATAATTTGCATGGTCGTCTTGGAACAGCTGTGACAGACAATGGTAGTTTATCTGGAAGTTGAGCTGGGTCTTCTGATTATTCTCTATTAGAACAGTGGCAGCTCTTCTAACTTAAGTGGTGGCTAATAAAATTTAACCAAAACAATATTAAAATCTGTGAGGAAGATATTTTTTTCTTTCAAGGTCTAGTCTCTTGCAGTGCTAAGTTTCATTAGCTTTCTTATTAACATCAAATGTTTCAGGACTCATAAGATTTGACATTTGCTTAACAAAAGCTGAGAGAGTGAAAAGTTCACTAAATATTGAATATGTACTTACATAAGGAGCTATAATGTGAACACTATAGACCTCCTTTGATACATTCATAAGAAACACAAAAGAGTGTGTCCTAAGCTGTCTTTTCTTTGCATCAAAAATGCTGTGGTGAGGGATTTCTACAAATAAACTTTGATTTAGGTTAGTCTGTGCCAGGGGAGTTTTCCCATGGGAGTGGGATGGGGAAAGCTTCAAGAGAAGCATGGGTAATTGTATCTGTTCCTGGAGTTTGTTTTGTCGCTCAGATTTGCGTTGATGAATCCTAATGTGCTATCGGATAGTACCAGAAATGCATTAGTTGGTTTTTTTCAGTCCTTGTTTCCTAGGAAGTTGTTGGGGTTTGTTTGTTGTGGTTTTGTTCAGATAACATCATCACTTTCTCTATATCTTTGTCGCATCTGACAATGGGTTACTTTAGTGAACTTTATAACTTACGTCTATTTTGAAGCTAATACAAAATGTACCAGCTTATTTGGACAAACCTTCATGGAACCAGGCAAGCACTTAAGTTTATTTTAATTAATATTGCCACCAAGATCCAGAAATTGAGGACAATGTCTGTGCTTGTTGAGGGTCATTTTGCATAGCAGGATTTCACTTCATGAGAACACTTTATAAAAGTTTTCATGGGCTTCCAGATGATGTTGGATGAAACTACTGGGTTTTATTTTGACTTACCAATGCATGTTAGGGGCATCCCTTTTTGTCTGGCAAGGTCTCAAACGCAGCTAGCTGAGATACTTGTTCCAAGTCTTTCCTTCATGTGAGAGTTTGTTAGTCACAGGATACCCTCAGTGGAGTTTTTGCCATAGTAAAATGAGTGCATCACTTGCATCTGAAAAAGTGTGGTTTATTTCTCTTCACAACAAGGTGTTGGTTGAAGTGGAAAACAACGAAAATATAAATGGGTTGATGGGGATGGTGGGACAATTTGGTGAGCTGAGCCAGTTAATCACCATTAATTTCTGCTGTGCAAACACTGGGCGTTGTCTGGAAAGAAACCCTTCTTTAGCACATAGTAATAAATAGACATCTGTGATCAATACGCAAGCCTGCATTTTGTTCCCCCAGGTGAGGAAGGAGGACCTCTGTATTATTTCCTTTGCTAATAGGCTTCTGAGCACTTCGTGCCAGGAGCTGTCTGTATGCGGTAAAATACCCACTGTTCTGTGTCCTCTCAGCCGCTGGGAACTTGACGTGTTATTGTTACAGCATCTCTTCAAAGACTACTGCCAGTCATTCATTTTAATATGTAATCTCCAGGAAGCCGTTTGAAGTGGTGTTGCCTAGTTACAGTTGAAATGTGCTCTGCTGTAAGGTTTTTGCTGGTACAATTCTTATCACAGGAATACAGGTCGGGTACCACATTCTGCATTCATTCGTGTAATATAGAGAGAACGATCCTGAAATCTTTTAATGCTGAGAGAGTGAAAAGTTCACTAAATATTGAATATGTACTTACATAAGGAGCTATGGATCTTCTGCCTATATATAGAAAAGTAGATTAGTTGCTGAAAATGTGAATGTATACTTAAAGAAGGTTAGTATCTCTTATAAAGATGTAAAGAGTAAATTTAGCAAGATTATGTTGTTGTGATGTTAGAGTATTCGCAGACTGCATTTCAGAGGTTATTTAATACAGTTAAGAGTTCTTGTTTTGATAAACCTTTGCATTGTATCCTGTTTTAAAATCTTCCATAATTGTTAGACACAGCTTTAGCAGAGCATCTTATAAGGGGATTCCCTATGTAAATGTTCAAGTTGATGTAAATGCTTTTGTGGTATGCATAACCTTGCATGCAAATGTGAGAGCATGATCAAATAGTTAACTACATTGAGTCATCAGTGCAGGCTTAAAATTGTGCTTATTAGTTAGATAGCCTACTGTGAGCCTTCTCTCTCTCTCTCTCCGTCTCCCTCCCCTCCCTCCCCTCGTCTCTCAATCTCTCTCTCTCTTAAAATCAAATCAGGATCTGCTGAAAAACATAGATGGTCACAAAAAGGCATTCCATGAGATCCACGGGGCCAGGTCTGTTAACGGAGTGCCTGTTCCACCTGACCAATTAGAGGATATGGCAGAGAGGTAAGGCTTTCAATCTGAAATAAAAACCCTCTGTGAATGGAACCTGTTTGCTTTTTAGTCTGTTCGTGTAGAAATCACTGTCTAATTATGTTTCTCAGTGGCAAGCATGAAAAAATTGGAAGGAAAAACCTCCTAGAATATGCATAAAAAATATATCAAAAAGCCTGATGCAGTAAAGATTGATGAGAATCAAAATAAGCTATGGGTTTTGGAAGGGAATACTTTTTTACATTGATCCTGTTATTACTTGTCCCTGGAAGAAATATTATGTAACAACAGCTGGGATGCATGTGAAAAAAGAAAAGAAAAATTACTTTACAAAACTTAGTAACAGTTGTAAATTGATGATTTTATGAATAAACAGAAATGTAATTGATTTGCTATTCAAGAGCAGTCATCAGAATGATCATCATGCATAATTAAATGTTTGTAGACTCTGAATTAGGTGAAAGATTAGAAAAATATCTGGACTGTAACTAAAGCTTTCAGTCTCTCCTGCAAAAATGAATATTGCTGCATTTTACTACAGTGTGATTCATTTTATAGGTTTAATTTTGTTGTCTCTTCATCTGAGCTCCATCTGTTGAAGATGGAGTTTCTGGAACTGAAGTACCGTCTGCTGTCACTCTTAGTCCTTGCAGAATCAAAGTTAAAATCATGGATTATCAAATATGGAAGGCGAGAGTCGGTGGAACTACTTCTTCAAAATTATATTGTAAGTTAGGGTTGTATTCTTCTTTTTATAATTATTTTTGAAATATTCATATTTAAGATTGCTGGAAATGAATGAAAGAACAGAAACAGAAATGACACTTGCCAGTCATCAACTTTATGACTGCATTCTTATGGAATATCTTTTCAGAGGTGAATATGTCTTCCCCATGGAGGAACTTTAGTCAAAATGATTCTCTTTGCACTGTCTCTTCAAAAACAGAAGTAATGTTCCAGCTGCTAACTGTCCGACCATCAACTTACCAAGCATATCTGGATGTTCCAAATCCTAGATTTTTACATACCTTAGATAGCAATTCCAAATAACTTAATTTCATCTTCTTTAACAATTGCATAAATGCACTTTTTAGTGACTATACACAGATTAAGTGTAGAGATAGAAGAGGTTTTTGGCATGCAGTCCCCCACAGTACTTTTGTTTAAAGTCCTCCAAATGAAGGAAAAAAAAAAAGTTATGCTGCTTCTGTGTACTTATTCAATATACTATACTGATATGGGAGTCATTTTATTCTTTTAAAGAATGGTTTTTCTGTTCCTGCTCAGCATTAATATATTAAACCCATTACTTCATTTCTGTTTTGGAAAGAGATTGCTCCAGCTCTGCATCATCCATATATCATGTTAAGAAACAGAGGCTATTGACTTACAAATGCTCATTGATATGTTCCCTTTCAGTCTTACGCTGCTGTATCTTGTTAAATCCACATTTGCAGTGCCAAATGGCTGGTAGAATGGTACCACTGCTGCACTTCTACATTAGGGCATGAGGAATTCTTTCAAAAGCAGGGCTGGGCTAAATACTTTTTTCTTCTAATACTTCTATCTAATCCATATGAGGAAAATTGCATAGGAAAATTCAGGAATTCATACAGTTATAGAACCATTCAGAGCCAGGACACTGTGTAGAGAAAGTTATTGATGCCCCCACAGCCTGACAGTTTTTATTGCTTTGGAAGAAAACTTCAAACTCAGTAAAGTTCCTCTACAAAGTGAGAATTGAAGACCTGTTCACACTTTTCCCCTTCTATGTTTAAATTCCACCAGTTAGGGACACATAAAAATTCAGGAGTTAAGCCCTGTTTTAGACAAGTTTTGCAAAATTCAGATGGTTATTTAAAATAACATAGTTTGTTAGAGTGATGTGCAATAGCTTGGACTTACAGTCCATTTGTATACTCTGTAAGACTGTCGCAAAAACTACTAAAAGGTGAGAAGGGAGATAATGAGGAAGTGGATAGCTTGACTTTTGGATTATTATTTTGTATCACTTTCTTATTTTTTGCTTTAAAATGAACATTAAGTGGTGAATTTGTATGTTATTTTGCGCTTGCCTTGATTATTCTTGCGCTTCAGACGACTAGTGCTGAGATGGTCGTTAGAGCAAAGAAAATGCTTCCTTGCATCATTTCTGAAAGTGCATCACATCAAAATGAGGAAACTGGGACAAGAAGATAAATAGAGCTCAGTTTCATTCCTGATGGCCTTGACTTCTGGCTCCTTCCAGGCGTCCAGTGATGGAAAGAGACTTTATTTGCTTACCTGGGAGCAATTTTCTAGGACCAAGAGATGAGTGTTACTCTTCCAGTAAATTAGGAGTCTTACATAGGAAAACTGTAGTCAGTACCTTATAGTCAGGAGATAAAAATGTAAGGTTTTTTGTCTGCCAAAGCAGACTGAGCAATGTCAGCATTCTAGAAACATGCATAGTTAGGATCTGGATAGAACATATGCCTGGAAAATATTTATGTGCTGTAGCTGAAAAATAGAAGTGGTGGTTGTTAGTTTATCCCATCTTCTTTTCACTTGTCTGTCTTATACTAGAAGTAAAGGTCAGCATAAATTGTTGTCGTGGTTTATCCTGGCAGGCAGCCAAATACCATGCAGCCGCTCGCTCACTCCTTAGTCAACCTGGTGTCCCCCGGCTCCCCGGGACTCACCGTATTGATGCCGGCCTTAGCGCGGACGCCCGCTCGGCATAGCGCACTGCAGCCCTGGGACCCAACGTGGGGCACGAACCCACAGCCCTGGGGTTAACCATGGGATTAACCTGAAGAATATACTGTACCAAAGTCTCAGCTGTAATGGCAATACTGGTTACAGTTACCCATGGATTTTAACCCACGGAACTGAGTTTTGGCATTGCTGTATTAGCACTTTTTTAGCACCATATGCTATAGGGATTTGGGAAGAGCTACCTATTTTCTTTAAGGAATCTTGTCAGATGGGAGACAATATTAATCAGTAAAATGTCTGTATTTAATTTTTGAAAATATTTCCAATTGCTCTTGAGATCAGTATTATGTAAGTAGTTTGATAGTCTTTTACTTTCTCACATGAAGTCTTGCAGTTTTTGGTTCAGAGTAAAATGTCTGTGTGTATGTCTTTGGCAAAAGTGAAGTCAGGAGTTTGTCCCATAATTCATGGTAAAGCATGTAGTTCTTTGTACATGCCAGATATTTTTTTTAACAGTAGAGCAGAGAAAAATTCTGATTGTCCTTGACTTCTAGTTTCCTTGGTTATAAACACATTTCTAAATTACTTACTAGATAACTGTGGTGATTTGACATAACAACTGTAAAAGGTTTTAAAATAGAAGAATACTGGCAGGCAGATTAATTTTTAAAACTTTTTTTCATGTTTATATAATGTGGGTTGATGAATACACAAAATCTAAGTCTCCTCTTCAAAGTACATTGAACTCTGACTTCATTTGAAACCTGGTTTTACCAAAATCACACTAGTACACATAGAATTTTGTCTATTCTGACATTCCAAAGCTTGTGTAGACATATGTGAGATGTACTTGCCTTAATTTTGTAGATCTATAACTATCTGTGACCTATATGGATGAAATTTTCTCTTTTACTAAAAGGATTCCACTTAGATTTCAGTGTAAAATAGTTTCCATTAAATAAATTTTAAGTTAATTGCTCAGTTTCTGCACATTCAAAGTATCATATGCTAGTGAGTTACAGCAAGTCAGCAACTAGCAGACTAAGAAGATATTAAATAATCTTTCCATATGCAAAGTAAATAAACTGTATTTGTACCATTAACTTGAAAAGGTGAAATTTACATATTATTTTATAATGATAATAATCTAAATATCATTTTATAATGATGAAAAAAATGAATGGGGGAACAATGACGTTAAAAGTTGTCATCACTGTCCTGATGTAATTTCATGGAAATTATCCTTATTCTTAATATCTATCTTTATTTTGTCTGTTGTATTTTTTTTTCTTTTCAGTCTGTTATTGAAAATAGTAAGTTCTTTGAGCAGTATGAGGTTACTTACCAGATCTTGAAAAGAGCAGCTGAAATGTATGCCAAAGCAAACGGCTCAGGTAAATGCCTGTGTTTCTTTCGTCATGGGGACCAAATTTTATTCTCTTTAAACATAAGTATCCTCTAAAAAGATCTCCTAATATTTGTTTCTTCCATGCAGCAGAGCTGTACAGCAGCTGCAGTTCACCAGAGAGGCTACAGCCTCTGACAGCAATTTCACATATTCTCTAGCATGAAGCCAGCTGGTACAGAGCAGCCTGCCCTCCTGCTATTAAGATTTCTTAATCTCCAGAAGAGGGTAGTCACGTTCAGATTTCCTAATGGGAGAAGTCCATGGTCCATGCTAATTTCTGGGTTGTTTCAATGTTGTCAGTTTGGGCCAAAAGTGTGCCAGAGACCAAATTAGGAGTATGGAAGATCATGGTGCCTGGAAATGCTCCCTGGCCTGGCTTCATTTACTAGAAAAAGACAAATAGAGAGTTAGTATCATTGTAGTAGCAAAAGTATCCCCTGATTTATTGAAGATTCTTCAGTAACTGTGAAAACCTATAAGAGGAACCCAAATGATAGTTGAAGTATGGATATACATGAGAAAAATGTGTAGCTGATTCAACAGCTGCCTCCTGTAATTCCTCAATGCTGCTGAGTTCAGTGAGAATGCATGAGGGCAATATTTGACCTAGATAGTTGCAGACATGAGATCACTTTAACCTCTGCTGAGGAGATAACACAATAATGTCAGTGGAGGATTGCTGCAGCTGCTAAAGTGATTAGCAGATATGGAGAGAAAATGGATATCTTTTTTTGTTGTGAAATTTAAGTTGATGATGGTGACACTCAAATTTTACAAAAGTAAACATTTTTTACATGGTATTCTTACAAGTAATAAAATTAATAGATTTATTCAATGCTATTTTTAAAATCCAGTAGCTAATTCTTTTCTAAAGGGCAGCTACTCACTTATATGAATTCAGAAACAGCAGTGCAAATTAGAGGACACCTTAAATTATCTATATTCTGCTTGGCTTATGAAGTCTCAGGATTTGCTTGAGTCCTTTTTCTTCTCTCCATTTTTTTCCATCTGGAATAAGGACACACTTGTTCCTTTATTGCTGCGAGGAAAATACTAAAAATTAAATGGCAAAAATTAGCAGCAGTTTGGTTTTAAAGTCAGTGGAAGGAAGATCAGAATTTCATTCATTACTTTTCAATGCAGACATAACATGTTTCTACATTACACATCTCTATTATTTTCTGCTTTTTTAAGGAAACTTCCTCTCTTGATTTCCTTTATTACAGATTAGAAATGAACACCACACTGAATATGCAGTATGACTGTTTTAATATAGCACTCATTTTATGTACTTTCCTTAATCTTTAATTCACAGGTTTAATTTCTCAGTTGTAATTTTGCAATAAATTGGACTGTGAACTGAGCATATATATATAAAAGCCCACTGAAATAGAAGTTGCAGTAAAATGTAATTCCCTGATGAGAAGGGATAAGCATAACATAAAATTAAGTTTTACAGAAATAATAATGAACCAAAATAATCAATGTCTTTCCTGTATCTCAGTGGAAGAAGTTGAGAATGTGATGAAATTCATGAATGAAACAACAGCACAGTGGAGGAACCTCTCGGTAGAGGTGAGAAGTGTGAGAAGCATGTTGGAAGAAGTAATTGCTAATTGGGACAGATACAGCAGCACTGTGGCAGGTCTACAAGCTTGGCTGGAAGATGCTGAAAAAATGTTGAATCAGCCTGAACATTCTAAAAAGGTATGCACTAATAGCATATGTATCTGGCTATTTTGTAAATTATGAAACATGGGATATGTTTTTGCATTTGCTTAGGTTGTTTTACAAAATGTCATACAAGAGGGAGAGATTTTTTCAGATTCTGGCATGCTGTCCACATTCATCGTAGGTGTTTCAATGTTTGCACGTACAGTGTGTACAGATACATACATATATATACACAATGAAGGAGCATGGTTAGAGGCATCTTTGACATGAATATAGGACAGCAGTATTGCTCAGAGATAGGAATGTTACATGATTCACTCAAAGGCAAATACAGGTCTTAACACCAAAGTGCATAGTCATGTGGTGTGTATAAAGACACGTGAAGAAAATTATTTTTTCCACTGATTTTTCTACCATATGGATGACAGATTTCAATATTAGTTGCCTTTACGAGGCAACATTATTAATATGTGTTGATATGTTTGATGGGTAAGTAATTAATCCATTTCCCTGGTGTTTTAGAAATCTTTTAGACAGTTCCTTTTGGGGACCTGCAGTCATAAAGATAGTTTTCCTGTCTTTTTTTTCTGTTCTAATATTAGAGTACTGAAGCACTAAGATTTATGTTTGTGAAACTTGAATAATGACCCAGATTGACATGAATAATACTGCATTTAATAGATGCTACATTTTCACCCAATCCCAACGTAGCAGCTATACAGCTCTTAACACCAAAGTATGGTTTTCATAGGTTGTAAGATGTTAAACTGACATCAGGTCAGGAATGAGCATTTCATGTTACATGACAGAACAGTCTAATTTGTGGTAAAAGTTTGTTAATTTAAATTGATGTAAAAGAATGGAGTACACTTTTTAAATAAAAATAAAACTGTGAAAAGGATTCAATAGTCTGGCATAATATAAATGAGGAGCGGCTGAGGGAACTGGGGTTGTTTAGCCTGGAGAAGAGGAGGCTGAGGGGAGACCTCATCACGCTCTACAACTACCTGAAAGGAGGTTGTAGCAAGGTGGGGGTTGGTCTCTTCTCCCAAGTAACGAGCGATAAGACAAGAGGAAATGGCCTCAAGTTGCGCCAAGCGTGGTTTAGGTTGGACATTAGGAAAAATTTCTTTACTGAAAGAGTGGTCAAGCCTTGGAGCAGGCTGCCCAGGGAAGTGGTGGAGTCACCATCCCTGGAAGTATTTAAAAGACGTGTAGATGAGGTGCTTAGGGACATGGTTTAGTGGGCATGGTGGTGTTGGGTTGATGGTTGGACTCGATGATGTTAGAAGTCTTTTCCAATCTTAATGATTCTATGATTCTAAATACCAACAGTTATTATTACCGAGCAGGAAGTATGACCTCAGCTGATCAGGTTGATCTTAGCTCCTTGCATATGTTTTATGTAAGTAACTTGGCAGTGTTTAAAATGAAATATTCTTATATCCATAAATATGAATAAAATAAAAATATTTACTTCTCTGATCAGTTTTATAACTTTTACCTTTAAAGATTTTCAAAGCAGAAATCTGAACATATCCATACAGTATATACTTTCTTCTGATTTCTAACCTAAATCCAACAAGTACTTCTTACCATTGTGATATGTGAAGAGTTTCAAAAAGCTGTGTTGAAAACCTTATACATGAAAGCATTATTCTTCCCAAAATGCTAATTTATTCTTAAAATTACATTGGCTCAAAACTGTTGAAGATTACTGAGAGGTAACATAATCTGCCTGTAGACTGAGATACATATTTTAAAAGTTACTTCTACTATTAATGTTGAATCTAGCACTTCTCAGAAATAATGTTCACTTAGATAGTTCCAAGGATAGTTCTGATTTAGCAGTTCTAATATTTGCTTATTAAAACCAAAAGCAATACTTACATTGGTTTGTACAATTAATAGTCATACAGCCATCAGCACAAGCATCTGGAATCCCAGGTGAAAGATGATAACTATTGCTTGGAATATGGCATAAAACTTTTTTAAACATTTCCAAGTATTTGTTCTGTAAAACCACAAATATATCAGTAATATGATACAAAGATTTCATGGATGCTCGTTTGCAAACCTTACCTGCATTCCTAAAACGCACCGTATTCTATCCTAGTCAAAGACCATAGTAGCCCCTTACCATACCGTCATGCTTCTTCTTTCCATATGATTTCAAGACCAGCAAGTACCACTGTTCTTTTTGCAAAAGAAAGTGGATTGTTGGCTTTCTCATTGGTTTCTGTTTTCAGAAACCATATTGTGAACCTGTAGCACAGATCTTGCAAAAAAGATCAGCATGCACTTGGATTTTTCTACTGCAAAGTACTAGAAATTTAACAGTAAATGTATTAATGAACAAATCGCTCCTTCTACAACTCCTTTATTTACTTACAATACCTCTTAAGCACTTCCCATCATAACCCTGTTGTAACTGCAATCTCCCACACCTTTCTCCAACAGCTGTATCTAAAGGGTATCATAGGGCTTCTATATCTCATGTGGGGACTTGCTTAAAAAGAGCTGCATTGTTTTAGCTGAGAACGAGGTGTGCTTCACAGTACCTTCCAAACTTGTCCAAATTTTACGCATGCTTTAGGTTGGCTTCTGAAATGGAGAAACTCCCTAGCAGGGTCTGAGGAATGTTAATTGTTTGTGGGAATAAGTGTGTGGGAGCAAGGATGTGAGTAGTTTACTCCATGTGCTTTTTCCTTCTTGACCTCTAGTAAGCCTGATCATTGGAGAACTGACCAATGCCAGATTCAGTAGACTTAATTTCTTTTGGATGTGCTCAGAGAGGGTAGCCTTTGCACAAAGCAAGGGTTGTGCTCCACTGCGAGTAGAAGAAGATTCAAACTGCACATAAAATTTACTGAGATGATTAAGTTTATTCACTGATATATCAGTACACAGCACCTGTACTCTACTGATCTCAGCTTTAGGAATTTGAAACACTCTATGTTGTTCAATTCTCTCTTCAACAAATTTGAGCAGTATACACCCATTTGACATTTTCTTTTTGGTTGTATCAGAACTGTTTTACATGTGGATGAGTTCTGACAACTGTAAACTATGAAGTTTCAGAACTGTAGCTCTGAAGCTTGGGGTGATTGATAGTACAGTTGGACAGGATTTTTTCACATCTACCCTGAGCAAAGGATTGCATGGGACTGTCACTGTCAGATGAAGTCTTGGAATTATAGGGTAGATCGATAGTCAAAAATAAAATGGGTCAGTGCCCCTTCCTTAGTCCTGAGGACCAAGTGGCATGGTTCAGCTTGCATCCTTGTGGCTACTCTTTCTCCCCTGAAAGAAGGTGGCCTCATGATTCAGTCTATTGTGAACAGTCCTTGCCATGTGTCATCCACTGAATTGTGCATTGTTTGGGAGAAGCCAAAAACCATGTCAGGGAAGATGTGGACAATCGTGGGACAGTGATTGAGTCCAGTTTTGTTTACTGGTATAGCTCTAGTCATAGTGCCTGAAGATATCTGCCTTAGGAAAAATTGCCCATCCTCTTGAAGAACAAAAAGGAAGGGAGGGAGCTGGTCTTTGTCTTCTCTACCAATTTATGTGTGTGTACCTGCCTACAAGATGCACAGAAGCATTTGGCACTATGGCTGGGCTATTTAGGCTCTCTCACTGGAACAAGGGAAAAAAAATCAGTGACAACCATCCCTTTCCCCTCCCCACTCACCTACTCTGAGATAGGAGGAAACAGCGATAAAGTCTTCTCACGTCTTCTGGGATGCCAGACCCTGGAAAGCTGCATATTGTTCACAGTAGGGTAAGAATCTCTCTACAGTCTGTATATGTCCCAGTTTACTATCAGTCCATACTGTTTCAAGACAAGACAGAAATTAGATGAGCCCTAACAGTGTTTTCAGTTTAGCTTTCTCCATTAGTTTAACTGAAGCTACTCACTGGAGTAAAATGAGCTGTAAGTAAACTGGTGGTAATTTTTAATTCTATAGGTTATGTTCACAGACATTAAAAATCTATTATGGCATATCCGATATGAAAAGCTTCAGAGAATAATTGTTCAAAGAGTTTTATCAAGCCATTAGCTGCTGATTAAATTTTAGTTTCATGATTTAAGATAAAGACTAATTGAAAAGGTTTCCGAAAGATGTTTTCATTTCTTCCTTCAGGATTTCTTCCGGCACTTACCTCATTGGATCCAACAGCACACAGCCATGAATGATGCTGGTAATTTTCTGATTGAAACATGTGATGAGACCATTTCCAGAGACCTTAAACAGCAGCTTTTGTTACTAAATGGAAGATGGAGAGAATTGTTTATGCAAGTTAAGCAGGTATGTGTTTTTCCTGTTGTTACTTTTAAATATTTACTTTGTCATTTCCATGCAAGCAAGACAGATTTGCCCCACCAGCGCGGGGGGCGGGGGCGCCACTTACTGAAGTACCTAACTGTTCATCATTACTTAAATTAGAAATCAATCCCTGACAGCAGTTTATTTTATTGGGGTCTTTTCCTTTGTTTATCTTTTTGGTTATACAGCTTTTTATTTTTATTTTTGGACATTTTCCAGCTAGTGTAAGCTGTGGTTTTTCTTTATGGTCTCCTGTCTTGATACAGTGAATATTATTTATGCATATCCTCTACTGTTCTTTGAAAAAAATGATTGGGTTTAAGTAGCTATTGTTATTGTAAAAGCTCTGTAAAACTAAACAATGAAAATGGTGAAAGTGAATATTTTTACTACTCTTTAATGAAAGCTGCATTCAATTGTTGTACTGCAACCATAAGCAGGTACAATGCAAGTTAATTAACTAAACGTTTCCCCCAAATCGGTCAGACATTACTTCTACCTTGTGCACATGGAGGCACTGATAACAAATAAGAACTACCCGTTATCTCATGGAAGAGATTCAACTGATTGGAAAATAATTGTTGTTTCTGTATTTGCTCTTTAATCAGCAAAAAGATGATGTGAGCTAAATTACACAGAAGTATTTCACACCTCATAAACACATTGGAAATTATCTTTGCTATAGTCAATATATATCCAATGATATTTCCCCTTCATGTGATTTTAAATAGCAGTTGCCTATTTGAAGTCGCTCAATCTGTTTTCTTCACTGGCATGATTATTTCCATTGCAGTCAAGTTAAATGGAAAAGCAAATAATGATTGCCCCTTTTTTATTGTGTAACTTTTCCAAACGGTTGACTAGAAAGTTCTCAAGCATTATTTGCTGATGATACTTACGGTGTTTCACTGTGGCAACAGTAATGCCCAGGATGTAAATGTGTCTTCCCCTACTTATGCAGCTTCTTTCATGTGCTGGCTATATGGTTTTTCTCACTGGCTTTTCACCATTTCTGTCATACAGCTCTTTCCACTTTCTAAGACCTGTGTTTCCCCTTCCTCCAGCCAGCAGTTCTTTTACTGAAATTTCCCTTATCCTTCATCTTTTCTAGGCTTTTTGTGTTCTATTCTCTTTGCTGAATTTTCAAAATTGATACTGTAGGTAATGAGAAATTAATTGAGATGTTGATTCTAGGTTAGAAACAAATGACAGTCTGGCATTCTCCATATGGTCCAAACCTTAAAAAAGGCTGACCTCTTGTATGAATGGTGTTCTTTTTAGTATCAGCACTGTTGAAACTGATGCAGACGATTAGTGTCTAACTAATTTAGAAGATTAGTTTCCATTATTTTCTATTTTGTTGAATACCATTTTTCCAGCAAACAATTGCACTGAAAACATGCTAATTGCCTTAAGTAATTACTTAATTGCCAGATATTTCATTTGGGATGGTTATTTTTTTGTTTGTTGCTTTTTACTTTACATTTTCTTAGTATGCTCGAGCAGATGAACTGGATAAAATGAGGAAGGAATACTTGGATGGTGTTGCCCATTTGACAGCTTTTATTGATGGAAGCAACAAGAAATTTTCAGTCCCTGTAGAAGTGTCCTTCCTTGATGTCAAAATATTTGTACAAGATTTAGAAGTAAGTGTCTTCCTTCCATTCCTTTCCTTCTCCTTCGTAAGAGAGAAACTTGTAACTATTTAAATCTGAGAGCATAAAATTATTTTAGTATACATTTCCATTATTACTTTTTTTTTTACTAGTGGTGCTTTTTTGTATAATTTCTGCTATTGTTAATATAAATCATTGTATTCTATGAGCGACATTGCTAGTGCACATTTCCAGAACACTGTCCCACTGGATATTTCTTTCTGTGTAGTTTCAAATCACATTCAGGTGAGCTGAGTGATACCCTTTGGCACAGTTTTCATGCATTTGAAATATGATCCAGTATTCACTAAAATCAGTGATAAAAACAATTGATTATTGGAATATATATCTTTTATCTCTTGAGAACAGACTTGTATCTCCCATGAATGCATAAATGCTGTTGTTGAAATATTTTTTGAAACATTTGTTTCAGAATATTAAGCAGAAATTGCCTGCAATGGAAGCTCAGTACAAAATGGTTACAAGAACAGCGCAACTTGTTACAAAAGAAGTTTCCCAAGAGGAAGTAAATGAAATGCTTGGAACTTTGACAAGGATCAAAGAGCAGCTGAGCAAGGTTGCAGAATACTTTTTCTACTACACGTGTTGTTGACTGTTGAACTAATAAATAATAAGCTCCCCTACATAAATGCTCAAATTTGCATTTGAGCAAATATATAGTTATAGGAACAATAGATTGATTCAGGGTGGAGAAAATGTTACTTCTTTTAGACTTTAAGACTACCATCCTTAAATTTAATATTCTTTTCTTTAAGAAGTAATACAGGATCAGGATTGATCTATCTTAAAAGAAGCAGGTAACAACTATATAAACCCACATGCAGAGAAAGCGGCTATTTATTGAATTTTGCAACTTTTAAAATAATTATTTTTCTTTAAAACGGCCAAAAGGTTAAGGAGTATTCCTGTGCCCTGCTGTATGAATGCCAGCATCTGCTGTCTCCACTGGAAGAACTGGAGAAACAAATCACACATTTTTATGAATCTCTTGAAAAAGTCAATGAAATAGTTTCTATCCTGGATCCTGAAGCACAACCTACAACTGTCCTTAAACAAAAAGCGCAAGTAAGTTTCAAAAACATCTTACAAAGATCTGCTGCCTCTGAGTATTTACAATTACCTTTCTAGGAATTTGGACTGCAAGTCGGTAAGTTGAGCAAATGTTTCTTCATATTCAGGCAACAATCATAGCCTATCCTAAAGTCAGCTAGGCATAAACATACAAAGATTGAAACTTGTGTTCCCTCCTATTGCCTGTGGTTTCAATCCAAGAAGTAAATACAAGACTTTTTTTTTTGTCTAGTGGAAATTGGACTGAAGTATCAGAAATACATTGGATTTTTTATTAAGCAGATGAAATAACATGATCAGGAACTTCACTAGGTTTTCTTTGACAATTATGGAAGTTTCTTAGAAGTCTCGAAGTGATTTCTTTGAAGTGCATTGTAGTAGAACATTAACTTTTCTACCTGACCAATAAACATTTCATTCTGGAGGAATTCAGAGCTAGTCAGAACTCACTTGGAAAGGTTAATGAAAGTATGAAGATCTTGCATAGGAATTGGCATTTATCCTTGCGTATGTGTGGTAGATAGCTAGAAATAGTCCCTCAAAATTGATGTACACATTTCATTAGAGTTGGGTTCAACAGGTAATGTAATTAAATGGATTTTTTATGGGAAGCTGAAGTCTCTCAAAGCCATTTAGAGTCAAAAAAAAAAAAAAAAAAAAAGATAATAATATTGGAACAGATTTAATTTTGTGTGTGTGTATATATATATATATAAAAATTAGTTTAAGCCTATAATGACTCTGGAGATTGGCCCAATAATTCAACAAGAAGGGTAGTCTCTTCTAGTGACTTCAAGCTTTGATTGTATTTCGGTAAAAAATGATCTGGTGAGCTTGAGTCAAGCCAGTCCATTTATCTTCCCGAGTAAATCCTCTTCTGTTTATGAACACCAGCTGAGTCCTGTGTCCAGCCTGCAGGTTAAGGAGCAGCTCGTAAGCTCCTACTTACAATTATACAATAAATAGAGACTTCCCATAAAATTAAATCACACAATAATGTATTGACCTGTATTCTCTAAAACTACCCGAAAGGCTTGGGTTCATGTCTGTGTCTTTTTTTATATATAGCTAGAGCTCTATCTGGATACAGGTCTCTGCATATGAGGTGAAAGTTGTGTCGTCTGTGTTATTCCATATTACATTTTGTGTGGTCTGTTTGTCGTGGTGCTTTCACCTTGTCCCTTTTGTTCTTATTGTCAAAAAATATCTTCCTGTTATTTTGCCAAACTTTTCTCTCCTTTGTTCCTGGCCACGGTGGATATATGTTTTTTTCTTTCAGGATTTGGTAGCTTATCAAGAAAACTGCAAGAAAGATTTGTCCCTGATTGAGAGAAATAGTCAGAGTATCCTGCAGTGTGTGGCTTCGAGTGAAATGTTACAGCATTTCCATCAGTCAACATTTCAGAAGAAAGTTACACAAGTTCAGATTACTTTTCAGGTAATTATGTTGTATCTTGGTGCGTATTTTTGAAAGCTTGTTCACATGCAGCTGATCCATCCTACCGTATCTCCATTTCATCACTCTCTAGCTACTGTCACAGAGAGCTCTCCTCTCTGGCGTCAAGTTATTAATTAAGGATTTGTCTGTATTAGGTAATAAGTGGTCGGGGGACTGATGGTCATGTTCTCCATGCACTAATTCAGAGGTGAGCGTGCCTCAGAGGAACCCAGGATTTAAGGAGAACTTTCACGTCTCAGGCTCCTTTGGAACGAGGAGCCTGAGATCCACCTGTTAGGGCTGCACTGTTTTTTGTTTCTTCTGACTTTGTTATCTTGGCTAATTATTTCCTCCTATATTCCAATACATCCCCTTTCATACAAAACATGGAAGATGGAAACTTTTGCAAATGCTGCTATTACTGGACTTTGTATTTCCTCAGAAAATGCAGTATATTGTGAATATAGAAATTTGCAAATATGTATTTGCATTTGTTAATGTAAAGATGTGTACTTTGGGCTGTAATCCCCCTTACCTGTAGAGCTCTATGTTGTTATTAGCCATATTGATATTTTGGGGGCTATTCAGCCCCAGCCTAGCCCCACTCTAGCATGAAATTAACCATTATCTTGGAGGCAGATCTGCAGATGTTGGGTTCTATTAGATTTGGTTTTAGGCAATTCTTGTTCAGTATAAAGCTATCTAAACTGAATTTTGAGCTACAGAAAATCACCTATTAGTGAAGAGCTGTCTCTGAGAGGTGGATTTCAAAATTTATATTGTATTTTGTGGATTGTACTTAAAGATCAGTGGGTTTTGATTTACAATTTAGAAATCATTATTTAAGTTTCGTTCATAGTAACAGAAGCAGATACAGTTGTAGCTTGGTAAATTTGCCATGTTGAACACTAATTATTCTCTTTCTATAAAGGTGGATGGTAATTTATCTCTTTTTGTGTTAGAAAATAAACCTATAAAACATGGCATAACCATACAAAATGTGGCATACCCAGAGTTAAAATATTTATGGCATTTCTCATGTAAAGAATACATTCCTATATGATTCTACCATTATACACAAATTTTTATCAGGAAACTTTAAAAAGGCTTAGCAAGATGTTTAAGTTGATAACTAGAGATTTTATTAGCTCACTAATAAATGGGTAAAATCATTACAATCCCTTACACTGGAGTTTGTAATCAGTGAGGATGGTCAAGTGTATGGTTAGTAAGCAGTGTTGGAGTCACCTTGCTGCAGTTGAACTGGTCAACTGTTCATTTCTCCTGGTGAATTTTGTTACTTGATTATGGAATTGTAACCACTGGATAATGCAGTGCACTGGGACAGACTAGAAAGCAGAATAATGAAGAGCTGTGACTAAAGTTTCAAAACAAGAGGATTTCAGAGTAGCAACTAAACCACAAAATTTGCTGTTTTTCTTTTAAGCGGCTTTCTACCTGGTTGCTTATCTGGCCTGCTACTGTGATAATCATACAAACCTCCTCCAGGTCAGAAGGCCTGTAGCATGGAACTGGTTGGATCCATAGGTCAAACCACCTTCATGGAGAGTCATGTAGGAGGAGGCAGTCTGCTACTAGAAAAAGTGGAATGGCAAGCTTTTAGCCATACCAGGTGCTTTACATTTGAAAGCAGGCTTTAGGAAAGGCACTAGCCAAATGGCAGAGGCATTCGGAAGGTATCAGAGACATCTATATTAGATAGCTACCCATTTTTATTTGAATGAAGGATGACATCAGCATAAGCCTTAGTATAATTATTATTAAAAATTGGGAAAATGGGAGCATGAAAGGGAGAAACACTTGTGAAGGGCATATATTTGAAAGAGTCACACCAATCAAATGCATTTTTTGTAAGATCGTGTTAAAAGAGAGCAAATAAAAATCAGTGAGAAAGTGCCAGCTCATTTTCTTTGCTTATAACTCAGAATATGGTCAGGAAAGCTGGTGACTGGAGAAAAAACATAGAAGCAAATAGCCGTTTGATGAAGAAATTTGAGGAGTCTAGAGCAGAACTGGAAAAAGTAATACAGATTGCCAATTGTTGCTTAAAAGAAAAAGGAAATCCTGAAGAACTTCTCAGAAAACATAGCGTGAGTAAATTCTCTGACCTTCCTCATGGAAATCTTTGAGTGCATGACATACAAGTGAAAAGCCTATTTAATTTTAAAATTGATGTGGATTTCTTTCACGTATAGAAGTTATACAGATCAGGTCAAGCTAATGTTAAGATTGAAAAACAAAAAGGAAAAAAGATCACACTTCTTATTGATGAATGTAAGCAACCAGAAGGTGAAGAGAGAAGACCCCTTAGAAATGAGGGTCAGTTTTGCCAGGAGAACCACTGGGAGTGAGGACACTACATTTTGCCAGTCTCACGCATCCACTGCTTTTTTTTTTTCAGATTAAATCTATGTTTGTATTGTAACCATTACTTATGCATGTAGCTTTAAAATGTATTCTTGTTAAAATACTATCTCAGTGTACCGGCTGAGAATAAATTAATTTGCTGGACTTTAAATAGCTAGAAATAGTTCTTTCCTTAGTTCAAACTTCAATTCTTCAATGCAGCAGAAGTAACCTTGAAACTTACAGCATGTGTTAGGGAACTTCATGCTGGCAGATTACCATATCAATAACCAACTTCATCTTCTCACCGTCTCACTTTCTGCCTCAACTTCAGGAATTCTTTAACCAGTTGGATCAGAGAGTCCTAAATGCCTTTCTGAAAGCGTGCGATGAGCTTACTGACATCCTCCCAGAACAAGAGCAACAAAACCTGCAGGAAGCTGTGAGAAAACTCCATAGGCAGTGGAAGGTCAGTGACATTGAATGATGCCTCTGGAAATTGTAAGTCTTAACTTCAGAATGTTTCTGCATGACCTACATGTTGAAAAAATTTAAAATAAAATTAAAAAAAAAAAGTTGTATTATTTGGCTTCGTGTACAGTTGGAAAAAAAATGTATTTTACAACATTAGATACAGTTACACCCACAAATACCCTCTTGAAAAAGCCCTGTTAAGTGGTCAAAAGTCAAGAAATGTGAGAAATTAATTATGAAACCTTAATTTCTCCCCCTACAAACAGCCATAATGATACCTGTGTTAAGAATATTTGTTGAGAATAGGTGCTATCTTTTCTTAATTTATGCTGATGACGGATGATTGCAGTTACTTTCCCAACTTCAATAAAACAAATTTGTAAGAGATCAGACTATCAGTTTAAATTGTGTCTTCTGCCAAAGGCTCTAACAACTGAACAAACATTGCTCTTAAGCTATGGAATTTGTTGCTTGCTACAGCATGTTGCAGGTCAAAGCTGGAGTGATGGATGAGTGGTTTCTCACTAGCACGCAAACAGGAACCTCTGGAAGCAGTTGTGAATATAGATTCACTATTATCGTTTGCTTTATTATTTTATACAGGAAATACTTGGTATATCTTGCCAGGGATAAAGATGTCTCTGTAATGTGCCTTATACATACATATTATGGTCCCCAAAAACTTATGGCCTTGTGATATATCTAAGAGATATTGGTAACAGAGTTTCTTTATTTACTTAAATTAATATGAAGAAACGCCCATATGTTCATGCATATATATGCTTTATTTTCTATGTGAGCAGTTTTTAGATAATTTATTTGTGGTAACTTCACACAGAGGTAATGGGAGTCGTGTTTTATCTCTGTGCTTGTTTATTGCCCCTGTGGGTGCATAGGATCTTCAAACAGAAGCCCCATATCACTTGATCCACTTAAAGATTGAAGTACAAAAAAGCAAGTTCCTGATCACAGTGGAGGAGTGCAAAGCTGAACTAGCTCGACAGAACAAGGTGATATCAAGAGAAGGCAATGAAAGGATGATCGAGGAACACATGGTATGAATTATATGCCACCACGTGGCCATTTACAGAAATACATTTCTATGTTAATAATAAACAGAAGGTCTGACCAACTCTTGAGCCACCAAACACTCTATACACAACTAAATCAGATCAATCCTTGGGGTCTTTAACAAAAATTTTGGTTTGAGCTTAGTACGGTTTGTAACAAATACATAGATATGCCTTGTTCTTTCTGCCAATTTGCATTTTTATTGAATTTTCTGCTTTGTCTCCCATTAGTTGTTCTTCGGTGACAAGGGACCTTACCAGCTGTGTGAGAAAAGGCTCCAACGGATTGAAGAACTGTGCCAAAAACTGCCAGTTTCTGATCCAGTGAGGGCTACATTGGAAAACAGCCAACGAATCCTGAAGGAGCTCAAATCCCAGATAGACAGCACATACGTAAAGCTAACAGAGCACTCGGACACCTGGAAGGGCTATAAGAACAGGTGTCAGCTCAATTGGTAGCAGAGTCTTGTAGAGCCTTATGTGTGGTCACTCCTCTAAATGTCGTCATAGATCAGTACCACATAAAGAATGATACTGTGTTGTTAGCTTCACGTAGAAATCTATACTTTATGTAGTACTTCCACAAATTATAGTGGGGTTTTGAGTGGATTTTATAATTTTTGGCTTAAATTTAAGAGGTTACCGTTTGGTGGTGGCAATTTTTGTCTAACTTTTTTCCTTTCTTTGCATTATGTGATGTTTTATTTCAGATTTTCTGAATTGGAAAATTGGATTTCGTCAACAGAAAGAGAGCTAAAGAATATAAAGGAAAGTGTCAATGATACTGCCAAATACAAGCAATGTAAAGCATCCGTGGGGGTGAGCCCTTGGCTTATATTCTAACAAAGCTATGGTCATTGCTACTGGGACTCTGGATAAAACTGTATTCTGAAGTAGCGCAACTTTTTACTATGGAGACAGTAGTAGCTCCGCTGATTCCTGGTATTCTTAAAAACATTCTCAGGAGAAAGTTCCATATGCAGCAAAGTGTGGCAGAAGTTGCAGCTTTTAATAATTTAGAGAATGGCAGGTCCCTTTACCTGTATATTCAGAACATCCAAAATATAGAAGCAGATAGAATGCCCCTCATCCTGCTGCGTGCACAGTTAAAAGTGCTGTGTGAGGAAAAGCCAAAATTTCTGGACTGGGGGGTTTTGAAGTTACTGTCTTATATATTCTATAATAAAAATTCTTTTCTATGATAGTATAACAGGGGAGGCAAAGATATTCTACCATTCACTTTTGCATTGGTGACTGGTGACAGAAGTGGTAGAACATTGAGTTGTCGGTTAGTTTTAGGCAATAATTTATTGTGTCACTTGGGACCTAGCTTGACTCTCATTTCTTTTTTTTATTTCACATACTAGGAGCAAAAATAGGAATGTCACATACTATAGGAGTTTGTGTGAAAGTCATGAGCAGGTTATGAGGCTAACTGTGCATAATTAGGATGACCTTGATAAAGCCGATAGACCTTTACCTTAATGGGTGCTTCTGCTCCAAAAAGTCTGATTTACTTATGCGGTTTCACTGCTGGCAACTTCTCATCAGCACTGGCACAAAGAGAGAAAAAAGAGCTCTTTAAATAGGAAAAAACCACACAAAACCTTATATCACAAGAAATTTTATGTTTGGGAAAGTCAGCATTTAAGATTTAAATGGTAACTAAGAAATTTGATCAATATATGGAAAATATATATATACATGGTACCTACCATGTATCTATCTATCTGTAGGTAAAAATGTTAGTTTGTGAGGAAAAAGTACTCCACTACTACTTACTAAGGAACAGTCTAACAAGCAGTAGTGGAGTAAAGTCTGTGGAGGAAATGCACAAATCTAGCCATTGACTGGAACAGAATCAGATAGGGTATGCAAATAGAAAAATACTACATTTTTAGTGTTTCAAGATAAGAACAAAGGTAGTATGTTTGCACTACCAATCTTTGAACTGATGCCATGAATGTCACTCATTAATATATTTTGTTTATTTGAAGAAAATATGTTTTGATTCTTCCATAGGAAATCAGGAAACATATTAACAAGCAAGGAGAAAATCACAGCTGGCTGAAATCTAGACTTGCTGTTTTGACCGCAATATGTCCTGATTTGGAAGCCAAAAAGACAGAGGATGAGCTTTGTAAACTTTCCAGTGACTTCAAGGGACTCCTAGATTTGCTGGCTGAGGTACAGTATGAGGGACAAGAAATCTCCATTTAAAGTGTCACATGAAATTACATCAATCATGGCTTCACAAGCATAAGTCACCTGCTGTGTTTTTTTAATTAAACTGCATTCAGCAACAAAAAACTCATTTGTACTTCCTGGGTAAAGCCTTAAGAGTAGCAGGCAAAAAATACTGACATTATTATAATGGATCTTTTCCCTTTGCAGGATGGGAAAGCATCATAGCAAATGTTTCTGGAATCAAAATGTCAGTATTTTTAGAGGCAAAAGATAGTTTTCTAAAACCAGCTCATAGTGAACATTCGCAAAACTGTGATGTACATCAGCTAGTGGATATAAAATCTGACTTTAATCTTCATTTATATATCTTTTACACTGCAATAATAAAGGAACTACTGTGAGGTAGTTTCAAATTATTAAGGGTGTCTATCATGCACTGAATTTGCAGGAAAAGGCTGCAGTTCTCTGAGGTATGAATGATAATGAGATACTGTAACTGCTGAAATCATGGGAAGTTTCTAACTGATAAGCAAAACCGCTTTGAATCCACTGAACCCTTGAGTTCTATGGGATCTCAGGAAACTTACTGCTTTGCAGTTTTCACAGTAAAAAGAAAGATCAGGAGAAACTTAGAACATCTTACACTTAGAAGGTGGAACAGGTCCATTTGAAAAAATGTTCAGGATAGAGAAGGAGTTCAGGCTTCAAATTCCATGGTTAATGTCAATTCTTGTGGAGGTCTTGTGGGTGTTCCAAATGTATAAAAGTTCCATGTATTTATTGAAATTTCTCTAAACTTCTGTGGTGTGAAAACTGTGTTTGGAAAGTTGGGGGAATTAAGGTTCTGATTTCCAAGTGATTGTAAAAAATTGAAGATAATATCTTTTTTTTTAAATTTATTTTTTATTGAAGTACTTTTGCTTTTTGTTTCCTCCAAAAGTCGGGGAGCACAGGTTCATGAAGGTAAAAAAAGAAAATAAGAACTAGAATCTAAAATTGTTTTGAATCTAAAAGCATAGTCTAAATGGCACATCAAACTATAATTAAGAGACTGATGACTCTTAAAAGTCTGAATACTCTTTACAGCTAAATTTACAGCTTGTTAATCAGATGGATGAGACTGTTTACAGAAGGACTGATACTGGGTATTTCCAGAGTTCAGCAATGTTTTTTGAAGACTGAAGACTAAACATTTCTATAACAGGAAAGAGGATGGCTTGAATCTGAATGACCCTCCAAAGTGAATATGGACTGAAAAGAAAGGAAGGAAGGGAGGAAGAAAAGGAAGGAGTTTCTTAGTTCTAGAATACTTTATGATTAAAACCTTAAAACTATCTGAGGAACAGAGCCTGTACTGAGAATCAGCTACAAGTAGTTAGCTGAATCATGCATAGAAGGAAGAACTTTCTGATACGTTGAATAGATATATCTTTTTCTTTATAAAATTCTGCAAACTGAGACTGGATATTGCACCACGTGCATATTGTGGTCCATAAAACCAGGATAACACGGCATTTTAATATATTTGTGATTCACCAGGGCATTGCTCTAGAAGGTCCAAAAGGCAGCAAGATTTTTTGTGAGTTCAGTAGCGCAGGTGTTTCGGAATCTGCATCAGCTTGCACGGGTGAGGACAGCATGTATTTTCTAAGTGATCACCAATAAGTGGCTGTCACAGACAGCTATTTACTATATAACAATGTAATAGGGAGTATGTCTAAACAAGACAAAGGTCTCCTCAGTCACATTTTAAGTCTACAGTCACTCTTTCAATGTAAAGTTAAAAGTGTCTGTTAAGAATGCTGGAGACAAAAATGGTTTGAATTTAGACAATTTACTATTTTTTTTGCAAAAGTATTCCAAATATAAATGTGCCCTTAAAATATAGATGTGCCTTTCAACATTAAATACTTAAAGTTATCTGTAATTGTAGATTGAAAAGACATTAGGCACTGTTGGCGACTGTGTCCAGTACAAAGAAGTAGTTAAAAGTGCAATTGAAGACTTAATCAACAACTCTAAAGAAGCCCAAGCAGAGGCTGAAAAGATCCTGGATACAGAAAGTTTATTACAAGCTCAGCAACTACTACTTCATCATCAGGTAGGGCAATTACTCTTGTCCATATTAGATTTTTTTTTTTAAGGTAGAATGTATGTAATTACTAAATTTTGTTATGTCCATTAGCATAACTCTTTATATTTAAACTTGAAAGAGTTATAAAGGAAATGGTCTCATATGGCCTAGTATTGATTTCTTATAATGAAAAAAGTACTCAGTATTTTTTAAACGTTAATGCCAGAAGTTGAGCTTGTTTTTCAACTTTTATTGAATATCCTTTTATTTCACATGGGTTTTTTGGGCACAGAAAACCTGAAAAATAGGCTCCATTTACTTGAAATTTTGGGTAAGTGTACTCTGCAAATATGTAGTCTCTCTCTTTTTACCTTTTTAAAATTTGCGTGTCAGATTTGATTGTGGTAAATTTGGCCTGATCCTGGTTTTGGAAATTTCTCAACTTCAGCAGCTTTGATGTGGCCCCAACTCCAGATGCTGGAGGGGAGGTATACCTCTAGCCTCATCTCCTCCTCTAGGTAGCTACTGCAGCGACAGATTGGCCTCCAGTCCGCAGGAGTACAACAGGAGGCTTTTATGCACTGATAATACGTCAAAACATCTGCGGGCTACAATAACAATAAATCATATGGCTTGCATACAGCACGAATCATGGGTTTTAAGGCCAAATATGGGAAATTAACTTTGAGGCCTGCTCAAAGCTAATAAGAATAAGAATAATTTACTGTCAGTGCTCAGGCATTATATAAGTGTTTTATATTAACATATATTTCTGTAAGGTCAGACATGTTTTATTGTCTGACCAGGCATTACTGTGTCTTACCTCTGCCTTATCTAAACTCTTTGGTGTTTGTAAAAGCTATTTTATGGGTTAAGGTTCATATTTGTTCTTTCAATACTCTACATCCCTTATCTGTCATAGTAGAAGTAGTAGGAGGAGTTAACTTCTCCTTGAGTTCTCAGACTCTTCTTCTTCTTTTGATATGGAGTCTGTTAAGGTAAAAACAGACTTTAACAAAGACCTGAAGGTACCCAGAGTAGAATTGAGCAGGGAGCTGTGAGCTTACCTAGCAATGCTGGCAATGGGTCAGGCATGTTAAGAAAGGAGAGGGGAGGTAGTCTTAGGAGTTTCTGACAGTGCTACAAAGCAAAAGGCATCAAAGAAAGAGTTATGCAACTTGGACATCCCCCTACTGCTCTGTAGTGAAAGCTAATATATTGCTTTGATCAATCTGAGGTTCCAACCTGTGCCTCAAAGAGTGCAGAGCAGACCTGGATGCTTCCAGGCAGTCATGAGGAATACATGCACCTGTGGCTACTGCTGCAGTTGCTCAACTGGCGTTCTGCTTGGGTCTTGGGTCTTCTGCTTTCTAAAATATTGCTTTGGATAAATGGCCATACTGTCACTCTTTCTCTCCCATTTGTACGCCACAAAAGATGTATACACATTTTGGAACCCAAAGCATATACTTGATGTGTATATGAGACTTTCAAGAATACTTGCCACAGTTTATCCCTTTATCTGTTATTCTCATTGCATACCCCTGCAAAAGCAGAAAGTGGTTTCATTGTGCCAGTTTCCCAAAGGAGCTAAAAAGTCTATTCGTTCCTGTTGGATGAATCTTTTTAGCAAAGGACAAGGAGACTCCGTGCAAAGAGGCAAGATGTGCAACAGCAGATTTCCCAAGCTAAACAGTTGCAGATTGAAGGTGGACTGCCCAGCACAATGCAAGAGGATTTACAGAAGTTGGAAGGAACATTGGAGAACATGCAGCAGACTATGGAGAAACGTGAAGAGCAACTGCAGGTGGGTCCTTTGGAAATAGAAATAAAAACCTGTGATTTCTTCTTTTTCTTTTTTTTTTAGCTTAGTAAAAAACCAATTTTTTTAACATAAAAATTCTGAGCTCACTGTCTCACCTCTGAATCTTCGTCCTTGGGGTTTTCATGATCAGTACCTCCATGAAAACTTCTTGAAGCTGCTGGATGCCTCTTTATTAATAAAGAAACAGCATTCTGTTTGGAAGTGTTTAGAAGTCCCAACTATTCAGTCATAATAGATATTTTAAATAATTTATCTGTGAATTAATTTTTAGATCGGCTGTCTCCCCTGGCTACTAAAGATGACATTGCCCTGTAATTGAGAGTCTTTAGGCTTGATATTAGATTAATAACACCTAATGTTGTGCAAATATAATCCTCACAACTGCTGTTGTACTAAAATACAGTCACAGAGAAATCAAATGGATTGCTCCAGGTTGTATAACTAATCCCTGACTGAACTGGAATTAGAATTTATAGCTTCTTGTGCCCATATCTGAGTTGTCCTTTACATTTCTCTGAGCAGAACGGTAATCTAGCTGTCCACTATTTCACACAAATGTTTAAAGTCATCAAAACTATTTCCCATGATAAAACACAAGATGAAAAACATGATTGATAGAGCTCAGATAACTTCTTAATGTAAGAATTTATTATTGAAACCAATTTTTTTCTAAGGAATCCCATATATAAATTCTTAACTCAGGCCTTGCTTTACTTCAGAATCAAGAAGAAATCTGTTTATACTGTCATAATTCTTGTGACTGGTAATTAAATGCTGTATGTTAATCAAAATTTTACATTATCAGAAAAGAACAGATAGATTCCTATGTGTGAGTTTCCTATGAGTAGAGATTTTCTTCTATCATTTGACTGTAATTTATTTCATTAGAGAACTTGAAAATGCTTTTAGGTATTGTTGACTACCTGTCACCATAAGCATAAGCATCTGCATTTATTACTTCGGACTTCTTATTGGACATTCAAATATAAGATTTAAATATTGGTGGCTCCTTAGAGAACAGTGCTTTTTTGGACAGTGCTGTATGAATCAGTGAAAATTCAAGGGAAAACTTCTTTTATTGGTTTCAGAACAGTTTCATCTGTAGAGTAGACAGCTTTTCAGGAGAAATTGTTTTATTTTATGTCAGGTCTTTTCTCTGTTTTCCTTCTTCGGTAACTTACAATGAAATTCTTTTTTCCTTCCCTTTGATCTTTTTGTCTTTGTCTTCCTGTTTTGGGTTTTGTTTGTTCGTTTGTTTTTGTAGGTCACAATAAATAAATGGGACCAGTTTGAAAGGGACAAAGAAACAGTAGTAAAATATCTCAATCAAGCAAGCTCTGCACTTGAACGTATCTTAAACTTTAGCAGTTTAGAGAGCCTCTCCTCAGAACTGGATCAGACAAAGGTATTCACTGTGTGAAATACAGGAACTGAAATATCTTTCTGCCTTGCTTGTTAACATGTAGTGAGAGTATTGCCTTCAATCTTTGCATGGTTTCCTGTTAATGCTGGTGCAAATTGCGTATACAGATTAGAGACTGCATAAACTGTTTAGAGGTAAAAAGTTATTTTATTAAAAGATCATGAAGAATTACTCAAAATCTGCATCTGAAGCACATGTATGGAAGGTAAAATGATTTTGAGGACTTCCCATTTGATGCTCGGTAAAATCATCTATACTAGTAAGCTAAACAGTGTCAAGCACTGGCATATCAACATCAATAGCGTGCTCTTTGGCAAGGTTATGTGGACTGTGCCAACTAGCACTCTTTTAATCCTGAGGAGAAAAAGGAGAGACTTCTACAATACGGACATAAGCCATAACATGACACTTGCCCTTAACACGGAATCCCAGCCCATTTTATTTACTAATACAGAAGTAATAGTAGTGATTGGCTTTCCTAAGTGCCGTGCTTTTCATGCTTTTTTACCCTTTGATGAATCTAATACTAAATTTTACATATCTTGGTTATGCTCAGCATCCATTGTTCTGGTGCATGGGTTTACCGTTTGTGACAGAAAGTAGCTGTTAAACAAAATGAGATAGAAGCTACAGGATACTGCAAAATCCTCTCTGTAAAGGGTAGGATCTAAAGATTAAACAAAGATGCATATAATCTTTGACAATTCACAAATAAATTTCTTGAAGAGCTATAGAATAAATTTTGATTGATTGTTTTGGACATATAGTTTCCCTTGCTAAATTTTATTCAAGCTAGTTTGCTCAAATGAGCATTTCTTAAATGCCACATGAAAATAACTTTCTTCAGAGGTTGTTTTTATGTATTTACACATTCAAAATATACATATAGGACACAGATATGTTTTCTAACCAGATATTGAGGAAAAATACTTTTTGTGTAAATATATGAAACTGTGTATTAACGTGTCTTGCATCCTTACAGGAACTTTCTAAACAGACTGAAGCAATGGCAGTGCAGGCTGAGAATTTGGTGAAGAATTCTTCTGAGATACAGCTTGGTTCAAAGAACAAGCAGTCCCTTCAACAGCAGGCAAAATCACTCCAAGAACAAGTGAAAAAAGTGGAAGTTACTCTTGAAGAAGAGTATGTTCTTAACAAGTCCTAATATTTATTCTCCACTATGATTGTATCAGATTTCTAGAATACCTTGTCAGCATTTTGTGTTGTCTCATCAGCTCCGTCATTTACAGCTTGCTGTGGCATAGTAACCAGGTTATAGTACCAAACATGTCAAAAGAGTGTGTGCAAATAAACAAAATCTTTGTTTAATAATACGTAGTTTATAAAACCACTGTTAGTTACATTTAACCTGTCACTTATCTTTAAGCCCCAGTCTTGTGAAGAAGGAATGATTAAACTCATTCTTGAGGTACTAGACTCTTTTAGAAAGAAAAATCTCAGTGCAAGTATGAGAACAGCACATTTACCATATTTGCCTCGGTTTTCAGTATTCCACTTTCTCCATAGGAATGTCAAGAAGTGCCTTCATCTTAGCTGAATGCCCAGATTTTATTTCATGGGCAATATCAAAAGCTGCTTCTGCTGTTGCAAATAACAAAGGCATAATTTGCCAAATTTTGTTTAAAAACTGAAAGTTCAAACTCCAAGGAAATGTTGTTAAATCCTGTAAATATTTGTAGCTTTTTGTATTTGTAAAAATTTAATCTCTTTTCTCAAGTAACTCAGTTATTGAACTCAAGTTACTCAACTGCAGCTGTTGCTGTTCTCATTTTATCTATAGACACATACATTATATGTGTGTATGAAATTAGTATTTGCATATATTAGATCTGATACACAAGTCATGGATATATGTGACAATTCTATATTGTCTTACTGGAATTACTACATAGAATACTTTGCTGTATAAGTTTAAGCAGGTACCACGACCTCCATCTGAATATGAGTGAAGGGCAATGCCCACATTATTGGGTTTTTTCCCCTATTGACCATTGTCATGCTAATCTGACTTTAATTTGGTGCTGTTTTCTTCCTGATGTAAAAGAACAGTTGTAAAACAGAATAACTAGCCTCTGCAGCAGATGTAACTTTCTGATTATTGATGGTCTAATTTTTTTACATAACAGTTTCTCCAATATGAAGTATTACAGTGATTTGCAGTCAAATTCTACCATACCTTACTGAATACTTCACTTATACATTGTTTTCTCCAATATTAGAGAGAAAACTAGTGTGATTTTTCAATTCAAGAAATTCATCCTTCCAACAATGAATATTCACTTTTTTTAATAATGTCATCTATTTTTAAATGAAAGCCATCATTGATATCCCCTTTCAATGTAGATATGAAATAGGTTTTAGTTGAATGTATGGATTGTACAGAATGTCTGTGGTACTGTGACAGATAATAAAAAAATAAATCCCTTCTGCAAAACATGCAAATATATATAACTCTCTATAGTGAATCTACAGAACATATAATCAGTGGCAAATATATACAACTCTCTATAGTGAATCTACAGAACATATAATCAGTGTGTAAGAGTTATGTTGTAACTCGCATCATCAATAAAAAACTTGGCCGAGTAATTTAAAGTGAAGGTATTCCAAATACCGAATACATATGGTACATACTATGCCAATGAACAGGAAAGGGAAAGAAAAGTTTGAGCAGCTGTCCATAGTCAGCTACTATGCTGAGCACACTTAGCACATTTGTTTTCCAAGGAGATCATGTGTAGCTGTGCAGCATGTTTGGGACTATATTCTTCATAGTCTGCGGCTTTCTTACAACTTTAAGGAAGGCAGATACAAAGGCGAAGGATTTTCAGCTGTTGTGCCACTGATTTGGTCCCTTGATTCTGATTTCCCACTGTATTTTCTTAGGCTGAACTTGAGTGAAATATTTTTGCACTTTATTTTCCTGCAAATAACTTGAATTTGAATACATTCTTATCAGTAAATGCTGTTGACATTGCTAATTTTTTTTTAATTTTGAAAATAAATAAGAAAAAATAAAAAGGCCAATTTTTACATTTTTAGACTACATCTTTTCTTAAAGCTTCCTCTAGCTTTAATGAGGGGGAAAAAAGAAAATAAAACAAAAACTTTTTAACATGGAATGGTTTTTAAGGCTATATTTAAAACGAAAATGTATTTTGGAATTTTGTAATATTCAAACTTTTCTGATGAAATTTTAATATTTTCAGTGAAATAGAAAATGCATGTTTTACAAGCTGTGTGTAGGGCCTACATTAGCAGTGGTTTCTTTACAATGACTTGAAAGGAGCAGAAACTTGTATACTGGAAGTTAATGCTGTTAGATCTTATAAGGGCCTTAGACTTCTTTCTTGTGACAAAAAAAAAAGCGTGCTTTGTTTGCTATCCACTATTTACAGGAATCAGTCATAATCTGTCTCTGTTTAACATACCTATAATGTATGTTTCAAAGAATATAGATCTATTAACTTCGAGGTAGTTGACTCATCTCTGTTGTTAATTCTTTGGCTCAATATGAAATCATTGCCTCAGAAATCACAGACTTCCTATAAGATAGTCAGATTGCTGTTACAAAAAAACAAGTTTAATAAAGTGGTCAAGCATTGGTGAATATATGTACATCCACAATACACTGGTTTTAATCATTCTTTTCTAGTGACTAAATGACTAACATCTAGGCACTCAGTTTTTAGATATCTGATATAATCCTAATTCCACATTATTTCATAGAAATCATATTTACGTTACTTTTCCGTTCTCTTCCTGCTATGATGAGATTCTTGATGTACAGATGATGAATGAAGCTGTACTCTGTTTCACCTCTTGGTGTCCCCACTATGGTTAATATAATTGTTTGACTTCGGGTGTAGTCTAAAAGAGAACCAAGTTTGAATTTAGGTGCACAACTTGTCCTCTAAAAGCAGGAGTTTTTAAAATAACCCTCCTGTAGATTGAATAAGTTATTCTAGCAAGAATATGGGCAGTTTCATCATATTAAACTGTTTATTCTCTCTAATTAATTTGGTTAATTTTAGTATTAAAAGCATGGAAATGGTGAAAAACAAGTGGGATCATTTTGGCAATAATTTTGAAGCTCTGTCCATCTGGATAGCTGAACAAGAAAAAGAACTGGAAACTTTGGAAACATCATCATCTCCTTTGGACATACAGATCAGCCAAATCAAGGTGATTAGTTCTTGTTATGTTTAGCATTAAAAGTCCATTTATCTGTCATTTTGCTAGAGGCCAAATGGGAGAACAGACATTTTACACATTTCAGAACTACCATGATGTAATGATGGCACGCTTTGTACACGAATATACCAAGCAGTAAGGTTTTACATAAACTAAAGGAAAATTCTTACAGGCTGCCTTCTCTGTTAGTGTTTAGTTTATATATATGGAGCCTTTGTGTGTATGGTTAAAAATACTATTTAATTTATACTCTTCTTATTTTTTGAATCATCTCAACTGGTATACAAAATAGCTACATAAATACAAGGTGTATAAAGCTTTTTTACTTTAAAACATACATCAGCTAGTGGATATAGAACTTGATTTTAATCTTGCAAGCTAAAGTTATAACTTGATTTATGTATCTTTTATGCTGAAATAATAAAGAAACGATTGCTTTTGGTAGCTTGCAAACCTACATACCATTTATTGCTATTATATTTACACTGTCTTAAATTCTGTGTACATTCCTGTAGTGTTTTAGTTTCTTATTGCTAACTGAGGTGCATATTGTCTCCAAGCATTGCATTTCAAGGGCTGACTTCATCTCCTCCCACAAATGAAAACATACCTCCTCTGAAACTGCATGTTTTTCAGGGGACAGAGTTTTTCAATATGCAGTGCACACTCCATTTTCTTTATTCTGCGACCTACTTGCTCTTCAGAAAGTGCACAGGTGTACAGCTGCTTGCAGTCATGGACCAGATTGACACCAAGTATTTCCAAAGGATCCCATAAGTCATTTGTTTCATGTGACAGAAACAGTTTATCAACACATTTTCCTTTCTTAATTTGCTCACAACTTTACATACACCAAATAAATAAAATCTCTTGATTTCATCATTGAAGAATAAAACAATGCTTGAATTCTTGCTTCATCGCCACAGCAATTCAAAAGCAGTTTCCTTGTGAAATAATACATATGCGTTTATTCCACTGGCATACACTGTCATGTAGCTGTACTTTTCAGTAGTTACTAGATAGGATTCAAATGTTTAAGACAGAAAGTAAGTGCATCAAATGATATTAATATTGCATTACAGTGTGACAACAGCTCTTGTCTGTCTAAATGGAGCCTAGTTAAGCCCTACTAGTCCATTCAAGCCAATTTCCCAGAAAGGCTGTTCCTTGCTGTATATGCAGATAAACAGTAATTTTTACACTGCATTGCAAGTTTTTGAAAATGCCAACATAATCCTTCTTCATTTAAACATCATGACAGAAAGAAAACGGTCAGCAGGTAATTTTTATAGATGTCTGAGTGAACAGACATAAAGCAGAGAAAATCCTCCAGATAAAGCCTAGGGTGATGAACAAACCAGCTTTATGAACTGTGATATGTGAAACGAGTCATCTAACCTCTGATACGTGGACATAGCTGGAGGTCTTCTTCAGCAGCATTGCTTTGTGCCTGATTTTGAAGCATTTGTTATGTTTTGTTGTGAGTTTCCTGATGCGTTAGTCTGTGTCACAATGCTAATCAGCATACCTCATTCATAATTTCTAGAACAACATATTAGTAAGGAATATTGCAATATGAGGCAAATACACTAAAAAAAATGGTGTGTTCCCTGATGTCTTTGGCTGACCAGATAAAAAACCTGGGGTCAGCTGAATGTAATTATGATACACAGTGGTAATATTCTGCTTTTGGTGACATTGATTGCAAAACCCCAATGACTTCAGCAGAGCCAGATTTTCACCTACGCATTTCTCCGAAATTCCTGGTGGACAAAATGACAGTTATCACAAGTAGTTACCATTGGTGGCAGACTCGGTGAGAGTTTGAAGGCCTCAATTATCCACCTTCTTTTATGTAACTGAGTGAATTTAACAGAATAACGTGGGAGTAAGAAAGCGCTGCCTCATTTGTTTCTGCTGCATTGTTAGATAATTTCAGCTTCAGGGCCGCAAATCCAGTCTTTTTCCTCAGCCCTGTATTCTCATGCAAAAAAGATATTTTATAATCCAAATTAATTCAGAATGTATCGCATAAAGAGACACTATAAATGCTTGCAGCACCACATTTTTTTCTGTACTGTCACCCTGCTAATTCTAGACTCTGAATGTTGCAGTAAGCCACTCCTAAGCTTTATAATGGCAAGCAAGATACCATATTTTTATCACAATTATAGCAGAAGGTGGGCACTTTCTATGCTTTTGAGAGTGCATTTTCAGGAAAGTTTTTGGTTGATGTCATATACATACATATCTTAACATTTTTATATCTGAGAATGCTATTGCTTATTTCAATTTCAAAGAGCACTCTTGGCTCTTTCAATTCTCTCCCAATGAGTGTTTTTCACTGCTTTTGAGAAAAGCTCCATGGACATGCTACATCAGCAGAAATTAAAAGAATTCTATTGTGAAAAAAAATCTTACTTCCAAGTTCACCAATGCTTACTGAATAAATAGCCACTGAATGTGAAACACCGTAAGTTTCTGTCTTGGATATTGTAGCTTTCAGGTTTGCCTCCAAATTGCAATAAAAACAAGTGCAAAAGATAGGAGACAGTTGCTGTCATGCAGCTAATGAAATGTAAAGCCAGTGCTAGTTTGTCTTTATGCATTTACTAATTGATGTAGAAGACAGCTGAAAAGTACCAAAGGCCGTTATCACTCTGGTTTCATGGCTTCCTATTTATATTGTAATGTGGTTCTTTATTTAATCCTCTGCCTGAGGGCACACTCACCCTACCTCATAATCTAATTTAATTTACTCTTTATTATACCATAGAATTTTAAATTAGAAAATGAAAACAATCTCTATTTGTTTTCAAATCATAGCATGTTTTATTTTGTAAGTGCCTACTAAACACAAGTAATCACCTGTTAGGGTTCAGCTCTTCAACGATATCGTTTTCAGTTATACACTTACTTTTTTTCATCCTGTACTTATTTTGAATCTTTAAGAGAATTGTGTATTAATTTGCTGTGAAGTAAGAGATGCTAAAATATGAACCATCTTGTCTGCTTATGAAAATATGCACCTCGGGCAATTCTAATTCCTCTTCATAGACATGGTTTTTAGGGCAGGCTGTTTTTTAAACCTTTTCCAGTGCTAATTTCAAGAAGAAAAAGGGAATTTACAGAGCATATTAAAGACTTTTATAACCAGTTATTTCAAGTGGTCAATGAACTCTCCTCTTACTTTCTTAATGGAGCTCAGGTAAAAGAAGGAAATAGAAAATACTATTCTGATAATTAAAAACCTATTGTGCTTCTTTATTTATTATTACTTTACGTTTTAGGTTATTAATAAAGAAATAGATGGTAAAATAACTGGAATCTCAAAACTAGAAGAGGAAGCTGAGTCTTTTTCCCAGTTTGTTACCTCTGGAGAACATGCACATATTAAAGCCAAATTGACTCAGGTCAAAAGGTATTGGGAAGAGCTAAGAGATCATGCACAGAGACTGGAAGGAACAATCACAGGGAATGCATCAGCACAGCAGAAATATGAAGAAAGTCTTAAACAGGTAGACAACGCAAAATCTAATGGATTGTTTGCAGCAATTTATAGAATTACTCTTTATTTTTCCAAAATTGAATATAAAATGCTTATTATAATAGGATGGACTAGAATATAGGAGTAGATTTGTAAGATAATTGCAAGACCTCTATATGTAAATTTGTGCTTTGAATGACTTAAAAGGCGGGTTCAGGAAGACACTAAAATATACACACTCAAAAAATTATGCTGTCTTTTAGAAAACCTAAGTGATTTTCTTGGATATTGCACTAATAATTCTTACACATACACATACTTCTTATAAACACTTTAACTTCAATCTTGGGTTGTTAGTAGGTCATAAGGAAAATAATCTAAATACTATTATTGCCCCAGTCACAAGGAGCTGAGCACAGTTAGCATCTTTTAACTTCAAAAGGGCACTCAGCACTACAAAATCTTAGGATATCATATTCTCTTAGCACTAAGTATTTAAAAGATGTTATTTAAAGCATCATTTATATATTTCCTGCTGGCTTTAGACTCTCTGGTTTGCCTTTTCTTCATAGGTGCAGCGGGCAGTGTTTGAATTTGAAGCTAAGCTAGCTGAGCCTCTCACATCATGCTCTTCATCAGCCGCAACGTACGCAGCCCTTCAGGATTGCACGGTGAGCGTGCGGCCAGCGATTCCTGCCACCGAGTCCAGGGAAACGGTGCCACACTGGCCTCCTCACAGAAATGCCAGTGACCTCCAGACCAGGGGCTGGCTGATGCCACACAGCCCCGGGTGGAGGCAGGAGGAGGCAAGGACTGCCTGTTGGGGTGGGCAGCCCTAGGGAAGCCTTAAGCAGGCTTCCTCAGCTATTTCTTCTCACCATTTCAGACAGGCTTGGAGAGTTTTTTCCCCACTCTAGAGAAAGGGAAGCCTAAAAGTATGAATTAATCCTTCAGGTTCTTGTTTTTAATTTTACACATCTAAAACATTATGAAAAATAGAAGATAAGAAACATGTCTGTTAGACATTTTTCCTCAAAGCTTTTGATGAAACTTTGGAAGTAGTTTCTCTTGGACAATGCAGAGACTGGACAGAGTTTAAACTGACGAACTTTTATCAGTGATGCCAGAAATCCATGGGTGTTTGGACATTTTGTTCAGTCCATTACAAAAGGAAAACAAACATTGGGTTGGTATTCAAACTACAAAAAATCCCAAATCTCAGGGAATTTGGTGTAGCATTTTTGTCTGTGTCTATGAGTTTGTGATGTGTTCTTCCCACAATAATCATTGTCTTCCTTTCTAAGAAAATATTGTAAAAACTTTTAGTCATATTCTTCTTGCAGTAAAATACATATAATTTCTTCTGAACTTAATGGTACCTACTTGCAAAGGCTGTATGCAAGGAAGACCTGGCCTGTCTGTTTCAAAAAAGCTTGCTACTTGTTGAGGAAAAATATTTTGCATATGGAGAATTTACTCAGACAGCACATATAATTATTATTGTTACTGGCTTTTAAACATTATGAATACGCTGAGTATGCTATTGTAAACTCATGTCCTGCCTGCGGGATCATGATGATTCAATGCCTGAATGTTAAATTATTTTTTATTATTTTGTTTAAATATCAGCAGCTTGTTGCTGTATAATTCACATTTCCTCCTTTATATGATTTCTTTCATGACTGTAATTAAAACCATTACTACTGTTGTTATTATTGCACACTTGTGAGTTGGAACTTTAGTGGTCTTAAATCTATTTCATTTTGTGCTTTTCTAACTCATTATACTACATTTCAATTCTTTTCATATGAACAAGTTTCCCAGCTCTCTAGATATGGCAACACTGGTTGTCAACATCAGATGCCATTTCTATGAAAAAGACCTTTAGCTAATGCTGACGGAAGTTCACAGTAACTGTTCCCTACCTCTTCCATGTCATGACATGGGTTGTGAGTCTGACAGTCCTCACATGTTGGAGTGAGCTATTGTATTTACTGTCTATGTATAAATTAGAGGAACTCTTAGACAGGTATTAGGGAATTTGGAGCTTTGGCCCGTTCAGAAGATCTGACCCTTTTGTTGCTGACTGTTTTTTCTTTAACACTGTTCTTAGGAAAGTCTTTCCCCACTACAAGCTAGTCAGTTGATATACTTGGGACGTGTATCTAGGATAGATCTGAGTGAAATGTAAGCTATGCAGTGACTTCATGATCTGATGGATGTAGCATTGCTTCAATCTTTGAGTAGAAGTACCGATTTTTTCCCAGCATCATTACCGTAGCTCTGTTGTTTATGTATGTGACTTCTGTTTCTTTTACATGTTTGTTAGGACTTTTGTCACACTGTGGAAAAACTGAGCAGCACTCTGGCCTCTCTCTCAGCCTGTGCCCGAAAGGTAGCCAACAAAGAAAAAGCTACTCAGGAGGTTACAGCATTACAGCACAAATATGAAGAGGTGCTAGAAAATGCTAAAGAGAAACAGGCCTTATTAGAGACTCTTCTGGCTCACTGGCAGAAGTGAGTAGACTCTCATGTCTGTTACGATGGACACAGAGACCTTCCTGCAGTCAGTGCGTGAGACCAAGGGGACGACTTGAGTTGGTAACTCTATGTTGTGATTTTGTTAGGCAGGAGAAGGAACTGTCTGCCTTCCTGACCTGGTTGGAGGGGTGTGAAGCTACAGCCAGTCCTTCAGAGCAGTACATTTCTGCTGACAGAGTTAAACTGGAAGGTGAACTGCAGTCACTGCAGGTACGTTTCAACTGAAAGATTGTCCCCCTACATTTCCTGGTTTGTTTCTGTGTCTTTTAAAGGATGGACTTGCTCAATTGTAGTCTGACAAGTCACTTGATTCTGGGCTTTGGAAATGTCCTAGGGAAGTGTTACTTTATCACTGTTGTTATTTATAAAAGTTGCGCCAAGGGAGGTTTAGACTGGACATCAGGAAAAACTTCTTTACTGAAAGAGTGGTCAGGCCTTGGAACAGGCTGCCCAGGGAAGTGGTGGAGTCACCATCCCTGGAAGTATTTAAAAGACGTGTAGATGAGGCGCTTAGGGACATGGTTTAGTGGGCATGGTGGTGTTGGGTTGACTGTTGGACTTGATGATCTTAGAGGTCTTTTCCAACCTTAATGATTCTATGATTCTATGATTCTATGAAAAGACAAGAAAATGACAGGAAGAACGTTATTTGCAAATATAATACAACAGCTCAAGAAAAGTAACGCCCTGGTATATCTCTGGTATATCTCTTATCTGTCAAAGAAGGACATTGGTCTGCTTGCCAGAGGATCCTTTCTCTAGAGAAATTCCTTTGTTAGACAATGCTACTTTTCTTTTTTTGCATGTGAGGAAAGTTGCTCAGATGACAAAATGCTCAATGAAATTGAGCTTTGAATTCACAATGAAATTCTTGTTTCTGATTTTTTTTTTAAACACAAGATTTTCATCCTATTCTAAAGTATGCCTTCTCTTGGAATTTTTGCCATTTGTTTTTAGATTAATATGAAGCAGTTGGCCAAATGTAGCATCTTTTATACCCTCCATGAAGCTAATGAGTCCATAATTTCAGTTTTAAATATTACTGAAGAGAAGGAAAATTATTTTGGGTTTTGGTTTTTTGTTTGGGCCAATTTGCAACATTTCCTCACAATTCCGTTGCTACACACAAAATATGTTGCAAAACCTAGTCTTGATTTTAGCCACTTTCATCATACAGTAGAGCTGTGTGGAAAGGTTGCACTTTGTCCTAAAGGAGAAAAAAAAAAACCTTCGATGAATCCTCACTGAATTGCAGTTGCAGATTTAGCTGTCTGAGAGGTGTCGAGTACCTGCTTGTCCTAATAGACCTCAATTCCTCCAAGGATTTGATGTGTTCATTCACTTGTCTCAAAGTGGTGTACTGGAAATCCCTAGCTGATTTTTTATTATTTTTGTTATTTTGCATAATATGAAGCCATATTTAATCTAAAAGCTGTAAATTCCATTATTTTCCCAGGATTTGCGAGCAGATATTGAGTCCCATGCTTCAGTCTATGCGAGCCTATTACAGTTAAATGAGTCACTATTTCCAACAGCTTCCAAACAGTGTGTGAAAACAATAACAGAAAAATTTGAGGAGCTGGATGAGAGATGGAAAGCTTTACCACAAACTGTTGATAAAAGGTTCGTGCTTCAGAATGTTTTTTATATGTTACATGAGAGTAACCAATATCCAGATGAGCAATCCCAATCCTGAAACATAGTTTTTTAGGGTATTACCATCAGGAAAACAAAGGTTTAAGATTAATATTGAACACTGAGCTCCCAGGAATGGGGTATGGGGAATCCCACAGATTTATCATGCTGGTTTTTTTGGCATAATCTCTCCCTATTTTTTTGATAGAAGAGTTCTGTTTGAAGGCATGTGGGGCAGGAAATTAAGATAATGTTGCATTTCCTCGGTTACAATTTCCCAAGTGACTTGCTAAGTTACTTCCAAAATCTGTAATATCTGCTCTTCCTTTTTTCAGTTATATGCTTTATCTTGTGCAAAGTCACACTATTATCTTTTCAAACCCTCTTTGAAGTTTTTATTTGCCATAAATACTATAAATGCTCAATTACTAGGCTGCTGGCTCATGTTAGGCTCAGGAACACTGCCTCCTTTTTTGAAACTGTATGTTATCATGTATTTAGATTTCAATTATTTTGGTGATGAACATACATATTTTCTATTTTATGATTCTATGATTCTATGATTTTATTTCTAATCATATTTCTTTTCTATGATTCTATGATTTTGCTATTTGTAAAGGAGCTTAAATAATAGACCCTGGTCAATAACATAATTTTCTAGGTGCTTTATCAATACGATTGTTTTACAATATAATGATCTTCTACATAACATTTAATGTTGAAAATTATGTAGAGAAATTTTTAAGGGAAATGGGAAGGTAGATGACAAGGCCCTTTTTAAGGTCAAGGTTTAGAAACTTAGTTCTGCGAGGTGCCGAGTACTCCTCTGGACAAATTCCTCCTTTGAATTGTGTTCCTCTGAGCAGACTTAACCATCACTTACTTCAGTGGAAATTGAGCATACAGTTACTCACCCCCTGCCTAATTGATGAGACCTTACATGCAGTGTTGCAGGTGATAGGGCAAACAGAATTGCTATGTCTGAAAACTGAAGTTTATCTTCCATCAATATCATTCTCTTTGCTGGGACTACCACCATGAAGAAAAGTTGAAGAACATACCTTGATTATTTGGGACACACTTCTAACCATTGATATGAATAAAACAGTGGAAACAGGAAAGAGCCAAACTGGTGCTTTCAAGAGTTATGTTATTCCCCAGTTAAGAAATCAACACGGCAGTCATCACATTTGTAACATATATTAATGTTTTCTTCTTTCCTTCCACCTGACATTGATTTTAATGCTGTTCAGTCAGCTGTGGTTTTGATTATGGGAAGTGACTAATTTACATCAAATGCTTTCATATTTACATCTGACATCCTTAGGATCAACTTCCTTCAATCTCTTGTTGCTGAGCATGGGCAGTTTGATGAGCTCCTGCTCAGGTTTTCAGACTGGATTAAGCAGTTTCTTGCTGAACTACAAGCCACTTCAGAGATAAACACAGCTGATCAACAACTAGCTGCATCTCACAATAAGGTAAACTTTTGGATGTAAATATTAAAGACAGAAAAATTGTACAGTGCATTCAGCTACATATTCATCTAAAACTAGCATGAGGTCATTTATTTGTTTGAAAATAAATGTTTCAGTCACAGCTTTCTGTTAATTGACCAGTTTAAAGCAAAATTTTAATACTGAGCTGTTCTTACTGAAAATCCATCAGTAGTACTTGTTTTGCTCACAAGTTTAGGGCTAAAAAGTTTTCTGAGCTTTGATTGGAAGAAGAAACACCACCTTATTTTCTTTCTTTCCCATAGAACCACTCAATGGAAGTTGAAAGTAAGAAACAGCAGTTACAAAGTCTGAAGGAACATGTAGATAAATTGTGTTCTTTCAGCTGCCCAGAGGACCAGCAGACATTGCAGGGAAAGACTGAAGATTGCTTTCAGATCTTCCAGGAGGCAAGTCAAGTAACTTGCCAAAGACAAGAGGCTCTGGATCAGCTGCGGGTATTCCTGGAACTCCATAGTGCTGCATCAGGAGTGCTCCACCAGCTGAGGCAGACAGTGGAGCAAACAGGAAATATGGATAAAGCTAAATCTGAATTACTGGAGAAGGAACTCAATGGTGTTATTCAAGATCTTAACAGGCTGGAATCTGTTGCCATCGGTTTGGATGGTTCCCTTACTAAGGCCCAGTATCATCTAAAACACAGCATTTCTGAGCAGAGGACCTCCTGCAGGGCTGTGGTGGATAATCTGTGCTTGGAACTGGATGCAGTTCAAAACCTGCTGGGAACTAAACAGAGTGAGGCAGAAGCTCTTGGAGCCTTGCGAAGATCTTTCATGGAACGTAAAGAACAGCTACTGAAGAGTATTGAAGATACCGAGGAAAAGGCTGACAAGGAGGGCCTGAAGGAGGCAACACTACAAGCCCTCCAGCAAAGGTAAAAACAGTATTAATGCTTGAGATTGGCACTTCTTCATTTGCTTGCAGTCTCTAGACTTTTTATGATGCGTTGGAGGCATGTGTGAGTTTTCTGCCTGGGTACCTTATTTCTTGCCAGGCATATATGGGTCCATATATCTACTTAATAAAATTTTGTAAGTAAGTGAGCTGTTTGGATGGAGGGAGAACATGAGTAGAACGTTTAGCAAGTCCTGCTAATCTTTTATATTGAAAGAACAGTCAAGAAAATTTTTGTCTCAGAACTTGTCTGAATGCATCCAAGCTCCAAACAGCTATAAGAAATCCCGTATAACATAACTATCTCTGCTCTTACAGAATTGAAGACTGTACATGTGCTGAAGGAATTGAACACACTTACTATAATAAAGTATTAATCTAAATATTTGAGTGTCACTGTGTGAGGTGAAGGCATATATGTATCTATATAATTGTATAGCTGTATATGTATCAGAAAAATCATATTCTGAGCCCAGTTGTAGCAGAAAAAAATCCAGATAACACTTTGTTTTCTGAAGATATTGTAGGAAATGTTAGAAAAAAGAAACTTTATGCACAGTAACTCTAACAGCAACTGTTTCATTCTTCCTTTCTCCTCTTCTCTCTTGTAAAAAAGTGAAGATAAGTAAATTTGAAACCTTCCTTTTAACTTGCAGATTGAGGATCTTTAACCAGTTAGATGAAGAATTGAATTCTCACCAGCATGAACTTCAGTGGCTCATGGACAAAGCGAAACAAATAGCCCAAAAAGATACTACACTTGCTCCTGAGATCAACGAAGAGATAAATCGCTTAGAATCTCTGTGGGAGGATACCAAGACAGTTATACATGAAAAGTAAGTAGATCTTAGACTTAAGGTGAGAAAGGAGAGGATTCTTTTAGTGGGGGAAAGAGAGCCAGTTGTTTACATTTAATATCTTCTTGCCATATTAATCCCAATAAAAGACAGGGCTTGTATATTAAACACTGAGTGAAGATAAAACACAGTATAAACCAGGATATTTGTACCAGTTGTAATTATAATATTAATAAAGACACAGATAGGTCCTCAGGACAGTACTTATAGATATACTGGGCTTTTAGCTGCATGTTAGTTAACTCTCCTGAAAAATAAGAAATCTCCATTGAGATTTCGCTATCACTCCAACTAGCACATACTTTCCTTCTAGCATATATTTTCCTTCTCTGTTGGATATGTGTTTCTGACAACCCTATATTCAGTGGTCCTAAATCATTCTTAGATTTAAGTCTTTCTGTCTGCCCCAGGGACCAGGCTCATAACAATCATTAGTGCATAATCAGTGATATAAGACAGTTTTGCATGTGAATGAAAGTTGGTAAAGAAAGGAACTAAAGAAACTAAAGAAAGTTTCATCTTACCCTTTTCTTTGTCTTAGCTGCCTCTTTGTCATCTTTAAAGAAAACTTCTTCAAATGTTCTTTTTTAAATTTGCATGGTAAAATTAAGTGCTAGATTCATTCAGTACTACATCATCCTCAATGTACATAAATTTTGTCTAAGTGCAGAAGCAAAACAGTTCTAAGCCTGGCTAATACTTCAGTGGGCATATGCAATTTGGTGATCCCCATGTAACTGCTGGGTTGGTGTACTGGAACGACGAATTTAAAAAATTTCATTTGTGCTGAAAATTTTTTTTTCCTTTAGTTTATATACTATACTTTTATTCTATTTTCTTGATTGACACCATACAGATATTTGTAAATATGCTGCCCCTTAACCAGCTCTGTGTATTATTTCCCTCTTGAAAATATGCACAGCTACATGAATTGCATTTCTGGTGTTTTTTTCCAGCTGAATTCAGTCTGGTTTTCTAGTGGATTTTTAAGAGATGTATAAATCTGGACTAAGTGGAAGAAAAGAATAGCTTTGTTTAAAAATGTCCATTGCTCCTTTTTCTTCAGCACTGCTGCTAATTTGTATTTCATGTTGCATGTTGCTGCAACCCATTTTTCTTACCTCTAGAAGTCCTTAATAATAGTAAAACAAGTAATTTCTGCATACATGTGCCAGAAACTAGACAGTACCAGCCTGGTAGTGAAGAAAACATGAAATAGCTGTCCCTGCCTTATAGATGCGTTATTGAGGGTAAATGAATTGTCCGGTTTTCACATACTGGGGTAATGGTTGCCATCCTTATACCTAAAACTGAAAGATACTCAGGTACCTCGTGATTCCTTTCTAACATAAAAATAACGTTATTTTTTGTTTAAATTATTAATTTAATTTTAATTATTTTGAACTGTTTTCTCTCTCATATAGACACAATTTCAGACCCTCCTGAACCTGGTTATTTTGGAGAGCTCTTTGGAGCATTCAGAGAAGAGCCAGCTCCTAAAGCAATTACCTTTCTTTCTTGGCATGTCATGTTTCCCAAATTCCTTTCATTGCAAACACTGTTCTACAACTAAACATATCCAAAGTATTAGTCTTCCCATTGCCTGAGCAGAAATAGGCTTTTCTGGAGAGAGGGTGGAAAAAATGTATCAGGCCTGTTCTTAACAGCAGGTTATTCTGTTCTCAGTAGAATGACAGGTAAATTGAATGTAATGTTTTAGACCTAAAAGTGTGCAAGTGACAACTGCAGGACAAAATAGTCAGACTTCTCTTGCATTGCTTTAGTCTTTACTTCTGCTTCTTTTTACCCCCAAAAATACTCCAGTTAAAGAAACAAGTTTAAAAAAATGAGCCGCAAGTGCCAGCATCATTATAGTGTGGTTTCCAGTCAGTAAGATGCTAAACTTAGGAAGTGAGAAGCTTGGATTCCAGTTTCAATCTTTCTTTTGCTCAAGTCAGTTGCTTCGACATCTGATATATATGAGATGGCGATTCATATACTGTCTCTTCAGTGAGATGTTCTGTGATGTATGAACCCACAGTGATTCGTAAAACCTAAATATTAGTATTTCCTTGGCTGTCCAAAATACGTTTAGCACTGCATCCTGATTTTCCTATGGTGAATTGCTATGTCACATTCTCTTTCCTTCAGAAACATGACAGCAAATGGTGCTAACACAGCCTTTTCACATTACAGAAAGGAGCAGTCCTGCATTCTTATCGATCTGATGAAGGAATATCAGAGCTTGAAGTCAACCGTAATGAAAGTCATAGATAGTGCTGACAGTGCTTCTGTGATCAAATCCATTTGGAAGGATCATGACGATGTCAGGCGAACTTTATCAAAGGTAATTACATTTATTTTCATTTGAGGGTTTTAAATGATCTTTGATTTAGATGGATTTTTCTGTTTGAAAGGTGCCCTTGAGCTGTGCTTGAATTTCCTTGAATTTACTGTCAAATCTTGTCACACTGACATTCAGGGTTTAAATTGTACTGATTCTGATGTGGAAAGAATATAGTCATTTCAGCGTTTTGGTGAGATCCATTAATGTGTATTTGATTGTTGCTATTTACAATTTTAGCACCTAGAAATGCAAAATGTTAATTTATATGGAAAGCATGAGTTATCTGCTCTTTACATAAAATATACCTTGAGAATATATTCCTATCATAGTATGAGAGGATATTTCCAGTCAACACACTTTAATATTTTTCCATTTGGGGTAATTTTTTGAATGCATAAAAGTCAACAAAAGAAAACATTTCTGATGTGTGCAATTCTTATGTCTGTCTCTTTCCAGGTACAATGTTGATACTGGCCATTGAGCAAAGATAAGGAATTTGGATCCCTGCATTCCATTCATTTCACTGGATCGTATTTCTAAAATTCTAAATTCTGCTATCCATCAGCCTGTGAGGAAAAAGAGTTCTGAGTTAAATTCTTTCCATTCATTCAGAGGGTAATTTCATTTGGCAGCCTATTGAGCTCTTAATTAAAAACTCTTCAGTCAGATCTGTATAAACCTCATTCTAAACTGTGCGTATTTATGGCCTCTTTTTAATAGACATTTTAACTAGAACTGAAAGCCAGAACAGAGCTTGCCAGTCTAACAAAGAAATGCATGTAACTTCCATATGATTCCTCTCCTTAATGTGAGCCTTGGGCTGTGGAGAATTCTCTGCTACAACAGCGGCCACATCTAGGCCTGAAGGAGTAGGAGCGCAATAAATATTTTGCACAACTCCTACCATAATAAAGTAGGCATGGCCACGTGACCATACTGCATCCAGATTAGTAGTTTATCTCTAATAATCTGATCTGTAATATTTGTTAAAGAAAAAAGTATGAGATGCTTACTGTGATCCTTTCTCAGTATTTTGTCACCTCTTCAGTGACAGCGTTTGAAAGATTTCTCTACTCTTAGAATTGCAAACTTAGTAGCCCTGAAGATTTTGTCTAATTCCTTTCTGAACACATTTGTACTTTTCTTTTCCAGATTATCTAGGAGTGACGGGTTTCACAATTCTAAATTTTGTTTGCAACACCCTCTGTTTATCCTGCTGTAATTCCAGAACTAATTTTAGATACTAGTTAGTCAATGATGGGTTCTTATTATTCAATTTTAGACATGTAGAGTCTGAATAATAAAAAAAAAAAAAAATATATTTGCCTTAAGTCCTGAAGATAGCTGGTTACCAAGTGGGGAAAACTCAGAATTTATTATTCCCACTTGTGTGCTTTATTTATAAGAACAATCATACTATTTGATTATGCTCATGAGAAAACCATGTCAGTTGCTCTGTATTTTGTGGCATAGTTAAATATTAGATGGTATGCTGAATGCGAATTATCAAATGCATAACATGTACCACAGGGCTAGGGATGGGTGCCTGGAGAACTGGATTTTTCTTTCTTTCTTCAAGGCTTCATTAAACAAACAAATATTTATGTCCACAGCATGAAGCTGCCAAGAATGATCTGAGTGATAAACAGAAAGACCTGGATACTTTCACCAATAAAGGCAAACATTTGTTAACAGAATTGAAAAGAGTGCATAACTGCGACTCCACTGCGGTAAAAACAGATATGAACTGTACAGTGGACAAATGGCTAGATGTAAGAGTCTGGTGTTTATATGCTGAATGCAGTTTTTAAGTTGGGCTAAGGTTACAGTATTAGTATTTTCTTAGGATCTTAGAGTGTTATTGTTTAGTAAAGTTTACTTTGAAGTATATCTCAAAGGGTTAATCATAGGGATTTGGCATCCATTGTACGCACAAAGTTGTGACATCGATTTGATATATTTAAAACGATGTCTTATAACATTGTATGAATGTTACTAGTATAAATTTGCACACTTCTGAGTATAAATTTGGATTGGATTCTCACCTAATGTATGCCAGTATTACTTTATTAAAGTAAATTGGACTAAATAAATTAGGCAGTAAACTGTATTAAGCTACACCATAAAAGATGTGAATATGTTAAGAAAGACAATATAGCAAAGAAACATAATATAAAAGCTAATACTTTACATTTTCATATTTATACTGCTTTATTAGCAAATTCCTACATTACATAAGAAAGATAGCTTGTTTTAAAGATAAAGTTTATTTGAACATAAAACTCTTCCCCAGTAAAAAATATACAAATTTTTAGAAACAATCAGGTATGATTTTTGTTCATTTTATCATCTGGGTAACTAAATTGAAATTAGAATTCAGAACTTAGACCTACATCTAAGAAAATTATTTCATCTAGGCTTACTAATTATTTCTGATGCACTTGTCTTACAACTAGCTGCAAAATAAAGAAATCTAAAATTAATTTATGAATGGTATTGATACATTCTCCTCTCCTAAAAGGTGTCTGAAAGAATTGAAGACAACATCGACCGGCTGAGTGTAAGCGTGTCTCTATGGGATGACATCCTGAAAACTGGAGATGAAATGGATGGATGGTGCAATAAGTGCATTTCCCAACTGAATGAAGGCATCAGCAACTTGAGTAACACTCAGAGAATGGAGGTCCTCCTGAAAGACTTCCAGGTGCTTACCCGTAAATCAGTGATAACAATGTTCTGGACCAAAATCTCAAGTGATAAGGCTGTGCTGTTGTAGACCACCGTGTCCTCTGTTCAAGCAGTGGTACCACTAACCCAATGACTAGCTGACAGCATTCCAGTCCTTTTTTGAAGCTGTTTGCTTCTAACAGAAACAAGAACAGCACATCTCTTACTAAAACTAAGCTCTGTAGTTATTTTGGCTCTATCAATACATGACAATGTGTTCTTACAAGCACAAAAATTTCAAAAACATAGCATTGGACTGAACTCTGTTCCAGCAGAAACTGATGGAAATTTTAGACAACTTCAGCTGAAGTTAAGCAAAAAATCATAGCTTCTAAAATCTCATCTAAGAGGGTAGATTCTACAGACAATAAAAAAGTTATGCCGGACTGAAGGGCAAATTTTAATGTCAGGTTCTAACTGTTTCAGTAAGATGATGTCTTTTCTGCATAGTGTTAAAGTGTTTTAGAAATCTAGCCGGTGTTCAGGATGCATTCTGCCTCTATTGGCTTAAAATATACAGCAGATCAACCATAGAATGAGCCATATTCTATTTCATTTGAAATAAATGATGTCCTTAAGAAGATGCACAAGAGGAAAGGCAGTTCACTGACAGAATGGTCCTGCCATTTCAGCAATCAGAAGTAGATGAGCATGGACAGAAATAATCAGTGTACCTTTTATATGGTCTATAGCAGTGGTCCCTTTTTTGATCAGTCACATAATAATATATCCTCCCTAGCACAAAATACCCCCTGCAGATTCTTCTGGGGCTACCTGAAATTTTATCATTCAGGGCAAATGTTAAGTGCAGCAATTTAATCCTGAAATCCACTGTCCAGTCTTTTAATTGGAGTGATCTGTTTGAATTTTTTAAAAAACAAAGTTTGGGTAATAGGATACAGGCACCAATTACTTGCCTAATACTTCAGAACTACAATTTTACAAATTATTATTTTATCTTTCACTTTGCTATTATTTTTTTAATAAGTAGAGTATTCTTTATAACTTGGTTCTATATTACCACAATAAATACAAGGTCCAGATATGTCAGTGCATATATAGCAGCATTTTTTAATTCTCTTTTGAGGTTAACATTTATTTCTTTGTCTAATTTTTTTCCGAGAGCTCACTTCCTTGTAATAAAAACCAGAGAGCACATGTATTATACTCTGCATGCCATTAAGTGGAACCTAACAACCACAGTAGATTTTTCCAGTCGAATAAACAATGACGTTCCCATCTTTATTCAGCCAGTTTTAAGAAACTAAAGCTGTTAGTGCATTTTAAATGCTAAAAATGTGTGTGGATATTTTAATGGAGGGGAAAAATATCTCTGAACTGAGTCTAATAAAGAAAAAGAGATGGGAGATTTCTAGAGAATAAAACTAATAGAACAACAGTGTTTTCGCTCTGGTTGCTAAACTTTGTTTACATTTTCTTTCATTTTTGCAATTGATAGAGCATCCTTCCGAAGTCCTAAAACCTTCTTGTAGTTTGGTATGAAACTTTGACCACATCTCTTTTACAGTCTGAATTCAAGGATAAAGAACTGAAGTTGGAGCAGCTTAGTTCCAAAATTTCAGATCTCAAAGAACTGACCCATAGTCAAGAGCCTCCTGCAGATCTCCAGGTAAAACAAAGATATTAGTAATCACAGACTGTGCTCAAATGACTAAGAAGAAACTCCTCCTGAAAGTTGTGTCTCTCCTGTACTGCCTTTTTCTTTCAAGGTGACAGATACAGCATTATTTATATGTATCATAACTATTCTTTGTTCATATTTCTTTAGTTAACTTTGATTTTTTCTGAAAAAATTATGCCATAAAGTAATTGAACATTAGAGTTGTAAAAGTATTTTTTACTAAATCAAAATAGAGTAAGTAGTTTACAAAGGAGGTGATCAGATACGAGACAGATGATATTCTCTACATTGCACAACATTAAGCCACATCATATGTGAGTGCATACACAGTTTGCCTCTTTGAAAGAATTATAATGCAGTAAAATATGTTCATTTTTTTTATCAAACCAAAAGTATTCTGTAGTGGACTGAAATTAGTGCCCTGAACTGGCTGTTACAAGAGAGGGGTAAAATACGAACACTGAAGGTGAGCTGTTGAACTTTTATTATTGGCTAGGTCCTTATTTTTTATGTTATAGGGCAGATGCAAAACCAAAATATGACTATTTTGGGTGTTTGATTTCAAATGGAAATTGGTATGTGAGATTATTCACTTTCAGTGTCATAGTTTTAAAAGATAAGCTGACTTCTGCGATTTCCACAGGCAGGGAAATATCTCGATAGATATTTATTTCGAAACCATTTATCAGATTTTAACAGAACTTAATATAACATTCAAGCCTTGTCCACATTTTGCCGTGACCATACACATACAGATATGGGTCAAAAACCCTATAGCATAAAGATGTGCAGATTATATGGAAGTGCTTATGTTCTCCCAAATTGTTTCTTTTACGCAAGAGGTTTAGAAAATTCAGGTTTAATCATATGTTTCATAATAAATATCTGTCCACTTTTAGAGCGAAACTTAGAGCAAATTATTTTGCAGAATATCACTGTTAGCAAACACACACCTATTTCCAACTACTAAATATGATAAATACAATAAAAAATTTAAATCAATACAATAATACTTGTAGTTGGTATATAAATGCAAATTTGAAAATAAAGCCTTACAAACTAAACATAAACCCCCAAATTATTTGCCAACATTCAAATGCTAAATAAGTAAACTACAGTATGATCAGCTCATATCTTAATAGCATAAAAAATTCCTTAATAGAATTTTCAGTAATTGCTCATTTATAAATATTACCCTATTATGACTGATTTGATTTATTTTTTATTAGTAATATGTGCACAGCTACCATCTACTGTAATTTCACATATTGTTGTCTTTGAACAGATTAATAGGCAATATTCTAACTTTTTTTTGTATTTTGATCTGCCTTACACTGAGATACTTTAAGCCTCACTGCTTTTAACCCTCACCAATTGATATTTCTTTTTATGGAGCTAGTTGTGTTTAGGTCATGTATATATGGCAAATTAGTAATGGAAAAAGGTCAACTGTTTAATTTTTCAGAAGTGGATAATAACTTCAACAGTTTGCAGTCTGGCTTTTTATAAGTTAGTATCCCTTCTTTGGGATACTACAAGACATATATCTAAGACTTAATCCTGAATGATTGACATTTTTTATTTATCTAAGTATATTTAGTTACGGATATAAAGAGAGCAAAATGATCATTGTGTGTCACTTTCCTACGCTCCATTTTTTCAATCAACATTCACCATAATAAATGTTTTATTTAAATGCTTTAATACATAACATTTTGCTTTTAGTTTATAGAATCAGATTTGATGCAGAAGTTGGAACATGCCAAAGAAATGTCAGAGACAGCAAAAGAGACACTGAAAGATTTCAGTACACAGAAGATGCAGTTACAGAAGTTTATTGATCAGATGACAGACTGGTTAACAAAAGTGGAAGAGACACTGTTAAGCTGTGCACGTAACCTGGATCCTGAAGCTCTAAATAAAGTGAAGGTCAGTGCTGAAGAAAATGAATATGCTTTTTCTTATGCAATGATCATTGTTTTTTTATGAGAGTTTTTGCTAAGCATTATACTTAATTTTCACTTGATAAAAAATATGTATCTATCTCCTGCACAGCTGCTAGAATATTAGCAAATAATACAGCAATACACTTTAAGAAGTTCCACCAATGAACAAAAGTTCTGATCTATTAATTTTATACAAACCTTTTAGAAAATTATAATGAATAATATGGTCTTTGTTGTGACAAGAACCGGTTTTATTACGTTGAACTCTTCAGTCATTACTCCAGCATGTTTACAAGTCCATTGACTCCCTTGCAATATAAGTTATGAATTTATAACTCATCACAGTAAAAGACCCTGGATGGAACTCAATTTTAACACAAACTTCTACCTCAGAAGTCCTCCTCAGTCCTCATATATAGCAATTCTTTTGTCTACATCCTAGAGCTCTCTTGATTGCATACAATTATGCACATCAAAACATGACAAACCACATGGAGATTTTTTCAGCGTGAGCACATGTTAATGCTCATATACTAGACAATTCAAATTTAATTTTCAAACAAATGTTCCTCTCTAGTCAGATGAAAACTCCCTTTCATTCAGAAGTCCCGCCAAATACCAGTGTCATATCACATCTCACATGAACCTTCAGATTTTGCAGAAAATAACTATCACTATTCAATATGCCTTGAAATTTATTTATTTTTTAATAGACTTGTAAACTATGAGAAACAGCATTTTTCACATTTCTGTGATGGCTTTTTAGTTTCAAGGATTCATCTCACTTGGAAAAATCAGGAAACGTGATCCAGTACTTCTTCCCTTCATTGTGTCTAGGACTGGCAATAGACCATAAGAGGAAAGAGCATATGGGAGGAGAGGAATGCTTGAGGAAAAGAGAGGGCTTTTTTGTTTCTTTACAAATGTCATATTTGTGTTGTAACTTCATTTTCAGCAAACTCAAAAAGACCTTCAGCTTCAGCAGAGCAGCATTGACTCGACCCGTGAGAACCTCAACAGCCTGTGTCGCAAATACCATTCTGTAGAGCTGGAAACTCTTGGTGGCACTGTCACTTCATTAATAAAGAAGTATGAAGCTGTGAATCAGCTCTGTTCCAGAACACAGGCCAGCATGCAAGAGTCCTTGGAAAAACATTTCCTCCGTGAGTCTTCAGGCTTGTTAGTATGAGCCGTTAGCCCGCAGCCGTGAATCATTCTGCAGTGTGCCAGAGTTTCCAGTGATGTCACTTGCAATTACAACTTTATTTTTGTGTGGAGCCTTTCAAAAAGTCCTGTTACCAAATGTTAATTTGATACGTGCTATGAAACAAAGCACTTTACAAAAACAGAATTCAACTTTAAACACGTTACATGTAAGGCAAGCTCAGCTCCACCTTTCTTCACTCTTAGTATACATCTCTAGTGCATACATATACTTTGTGTATTTGCCATAAAGAGATGTATATAACCAAATGGAGATGTTTATAATGTAAAAGTCCCCATCTGAAGTATTTCCTGGGCTCCCTGGATAGTCAGTGGCGAGAAGTAGGCAATTTTTAATCTTATCTATTAAGATATTAATCTAGATATTATCTAACATTAAATTGGACATATCACAGACTGAAAATGCCTCTCTTTTTTTCCCATTGACTATGAAGGGGAACCTAGAGTGACTGTTCAAATTTGGATGTTTACAGTGGAAACATCTAACGTTTTGTGAAATGAATCCCACTCCCCAAGGTCATTGAAGGCAATGAGACTCATCCTGTTAGATTTACATGCTGTTCCTGAAGGATAAAAGAATTGTGGATGACAGCTGTATAGTATTGTGGATAATGCTGTTTCTTAAAAAAATATTCTCTTCTCTATACTTTTTTATTAAATAAGATTCTATGCAAGAATTCCAGGAGTGGTTTTCTGGTGTGAAGGCTGCAGTAAAAGAATCATCTGACAGGTCTGGAGACAGCAAAGCCATAGAGGCAAAGCTACATGACTTGCAGGTATAGTGAACAAATTAAAAAAATAGTAACTAGCAATTTAACTATATGTATCCAATTTTATCTCTAAAATAATTTGTAGATGCTATCATATTTATTGGTTTTGTTTCTGAAAAGGTAATGTAAGAATGGTTCAGGACAGCAATATGTATTGTAGAGGGAATACAGTGGAAACTGTATTCACTGTTCTGAGAGATCAGAATTTAATTTCTGGAAGGTTTATGTGTAACTAAACTATTCGTGTTTCTGATTTTTAATCTTTTTTCCCTTCTTTCTCTTCTTTTCCTTTTCCTACTTTTTCTTACACTATTGGTTATTCAATCTTTCAGATTAACACTGATATGTCAAAGCTTATCTGTGTAGATTTTTGATGGGACAGAACACAAATAGCAGACACCTACTGCAAACAGCCCTAATTCCTGAAATGTATAACATCCAGAGAAAGACAGGACTACCTTGGGACCAAATAGGAAAATGGATCTCTGTGAATTGTAGCACCAATTAATAAAATTTTATTTGAACTATCTGCTTAGAATTTTTTCCATCTCATCTTGTTGGGGAAATCTGACCACTTCTAATAGAAATATTGCTTATTTTTAGTTATTAAATGTTTAAACTGTGTTCTTTCATTACACAGAGTGTGCTGGATTCTGTTAGTGAGGGACAGAACAAGTTAGATGCTGCCTGCAAGGAAGGAGAAAGTTTGTATGCTTGCTTACCCAAACCAGTTGTGAGCCATATTCAGGAGCAAATAGCAAAGTCTAACCAGAACTTCCAGGAATTCCTCAACCAGTGTCTGAATGATAAGAAGGCCCTGGAAGCTTGTGCCTCACACCTGGGAAGGTGAGTAATACCAGTAGTCACAGTGGACTGCATGAAATTGTCCGGCTGCAGAAATACAGGGCACAATTTGAAACGATTTTCAGTTATTCTAGTCCTGTTTGCTTTTTTCTTTGGAAATATTTAAGGGAGAATGAAGTTCTCTGCTAAAAACAAAGCAACAGGTCTTGCTCCAAGGGTATTGACTTGGTTAAAGAATGGAAGGTCAGGATCATATATGCGGAAGATCTGTGTAGCTCATGCAATCCTAAATCAGCAGTTGGGGTCTCAGTAATTTAAATGCAATTTCCTGCAAGGAAAAGGTGTAATGAATTTTCAAGTTCTGCCCTGGGGTTTGAAGATAGTACACTTTTTACACAGCATGCATCTGTCTTCTCCCATTCCAGATGGACATATTTCCTAAGGAGCTAATAAGAAAACACTCATAAATTATTACTTAGGGCTGGAATTTTGGGAGTTCAAATATTTTTAGGTGTAACTAGATTCAAAACTGTTGCTAATTGAAAGTGAAGTTCGTGTAGCAGTAGTGGGTAAAACAGCAAGATGGGATGGTGTGCCTTCATGTAAGGAAAAGGTTTTCAAGCTTAGGGCCAGAACTTATTTTGTTGAGTTCTGAGCACTCCAGATTCCAGTTACGTTCTGTTGGAGAAATTGAAAGGACAACACTTCAGGTGTTGTAAGTGTCAACACTGAGTAAAAGCCCCTTTTTACCCATTTTTAATCTTAGACTAAATCACTATAAGGATTTGGAAAAAGCTTTCTTTTTATCTGCCTTTATTTAATCTAGCAATAAACAAAAGCACTGTCACTTTAAATTTTGGAGGCTTCTTTTCTCACTGTAGTTCCCATGATTTTGCTGGACATTTTTAGAGAGTTGCTGAATATTTTTAGATTAGTAGTCACTGTGGAATTATGTTTTGTGTACAACTGTTATTCTCAAAGCATGAAGTTGATACCTAGCTTTATTTTCCTGGTCTTGTGGATATTGAAAGAACTGAGTTAACTTCTTACTAACTTTACTCCACCTGAGAAATATTTTTAAGGGAGTATTTATCTGTTCTGTAGCTTTGAAGATCAGCACAAGAAACTTGGCCTGTGGATACATGACATGGAAGAAAGAATAAGCACAGAAGCATTAGGAGAGAGCAAACAGCTTATTCCTGAGAAGAAAAAGGAGGTGCAGAAAGTGGAAAAGTTCCTGGAAGAGTTACTGAATTCAAGGTAGTATGAAATACCTTTCCTAAAATACTCTCACTTCTTCCTCTGCTAAAGCAACAGTGAAACTGAACTGTTGGGGTAAAGTGTGTTTGTGAAAGATAGAGAAAGGTGTTGCAACATACTCTGTGAAAAGAGGCTGAATCCAGATACTTCCAGTTTTAAGGAAATTGGAATTTGAAGCCAACTCCAAAATTTAACATTGATACATTTCTCATTAAGAAAAGCTTATCTTACTTCATTAATAAATGGAAACTGGAAAATATCAACTTAAAAAAAAAAATCTTAAAAATATTGCTTGTAAAAGCAATAGTAAAAATGACACATCGTTATATCCATTTTAAAATTTGCTTTCTGTCCTGCAACATTCAGATCCAACCAGGTTAGCAGAATCCTCTTTCCCATATAGCTGACTTTATAAAAGAGCTCAAATAACATCCACATTGGCTGTGAAATCTTTCTAGAATTCAGACTTAGCCAATAGATGATGAAGTAATTGCCTTTTTTAGTACGCTGTGGTTTTTCAAATTCTTTTTTTATTATTAGGTTGGTGAAGATAGAACAGAAATAGTAGTCAGTTGTTCAAGCCTCACAGCACGCTAAAAGGAAACACCCAGTCTCTACCTATCCCCTTGAGACCGATGCAAGATGTTTTGGTCTGATGTAAATTCCCTGTAATCACAGGGTATCGGGAAGGGTGATCCAGCAGATTGAGATTAACTGAGGCTGTATAAACCCAGAGTTTTAATCCCTTTTACTGACCCTAGTACTGAACCCCAGAGTCAGTGTCTAATCCTGGACAAATGGCCTGACCTTTCCATCATGCCTTCCTACCTGTCAAAGACTATAAACTTCTCAGAAGCTTTGACAGGTACAAAAAGGTAGCAGTTCATATAGAACTGGAAAGTCTGACAGCTGAAAAGAAAATTAAGTTAGCTTTTAATTCAAATGTGCAACACAAAGATTTCAGTGTGGTCATTTTGAGCACCAAAATCTGCAAGAAATGTCACTGTACCCAAGTAAAGATATTAATCAATACACACTGCTATGTTTCCTTTCAGTTTCTCCCAGCTAATTTTTCTGTTAACTGTGAACTTTATCACTGGTGGAATAGGTGATTATGTCAGCAACCTTCATAATTTCTGATAGTTGCTATAACAATATCATATGCTTTCTGAAACTGATTTTCAGTCTCAATGTTTTGTTTCAGGGAATCTTTTGATAAGCTGTCCCAAATGGCACAGACTTTAAATGAAGAAGGCCATGGTGCAGGGAGGGAAGTGCGCCTGGCCTCTCAACATCTCACCAATTATCAAAACATGGTCAAAACTGTCAAGGAGAAGCTGCGAACATGTCAGCTTGCACTCCAAGAGCATCTCACTTTGGAGGAAGCATTGCAGAGTATGTGGTCATGGGTGAAAGAAGTTCAAGATAAACTGGTGTCATCAGAGAGCACTGTTGGTAGCAAAGCCACACTAGAGAGACGACTGACACAAGTTCAGGTAAAGAAGGATACAGCTAGAGGTTACACATCAAGGTTAATATTGGGTGTGGGCCACATCAGTGGAAAAGGAATAGTTTTATATTTTATTCTTTCTACGGTTATGAAGGAGAGGATTAGAATTTAAGGTGTTCTTGACAAATGGGGAGGTGCAGCATGAAAAACAGGATGAAGTTTAATGGAGACAGATTCCAGGTATTACATTTAATAAGGAATAATGAACTATGAAAATGTGTATTCAGGTCCAAAAAAGCTTTCTAATGGAGGGGAAGCCTTGGAATAATTGACATAGAGATGCTGTGACATATCTGTCACAGGAGGCCTTCAGGAACAGGGTAGATAAACATCTATTAGGAAGGTCATCAGTGTAGGAGATTCTGCCATGGGATTTCTTGAGATTTCTTGTAGCTATATGGTGCTGTCTTTCTGTGCAGTGCTTGACCTACTCATTATCTACTGCAATGTGAGCAATATTTTAGGATGACCAATGCAATGAAATACCTGTATGGCTGTGGGAAAAACTGCTGGATCACTTGCACATAGCAAAGGACAGGCACTTACAAGAAAAGGTGCCTAAAAACTCATACTGGGCATGGCTGTCAAGGATAAATGATCTCAGAGAAGGTGGTGTCCGCTGTTGAAAGAATAAGAGCTTTCACCTCTCAGCAGGTTGCATTTGATGTTTTGACTTATTTTGCCTCACAGGAGATCCTATTACTCAAAGGTGATGGTGAAGTTAAGCTGAACATGGCCATTGGCAAAGGAGAACAAGCACTTAGAAGCAGCAATGAGGAAGGACAAAAGGTGATACAAACTGAGCTACAGACGCTGAAGGACGTATGGAACGATATCATCAGCACCTCAGTGAACTGGCAGAGGTAAAACTCCCTGGAAAACACAGGTCAGACCTTGCCATCTTTGCTTACAGAGAGTGGTACCTCACAGCACAAAGGAGTCCATTCATTCATTACTGATACGTTAGGGGAAAGTTGCATCATCAGAGAGAATCAAAATTGCCTGGAAAAAACACATCCTTCTATAAAAAGGATGAGTTGACCTATCAGATGAATCAAATTTCATATGAGATGGTATTTGATGGTAATTTAAAAATAAATAGAAATCATACAAATTTATACAGACAAAAAGCAAGAAGGGGCTTTCTGAGTTACTGAACCTGTACTTGGGCAGGACCAAGAACATCTGACATATTTATCTACCTTTTCCTTACAAAACTCTAGGAAGGTTTCTCAGTTCTGTCTTTCATTATGTTTTTTAATTTTAAAAAAATCCTAATGTCCACTCCAAATAATCTTTCTTGCAAATTAAGTTGATTTCTTCTTGTCTTAACCTCGGTAGAAATGGAAAGCTTTTCTTATTGCCTGTGTGAGACCATTTTACATCTTTGAAGGCCTCCATCATCTCTGTTCTAGACAGACTGACGTTTCTCAGTACTAATACTTTCTGGACCTCTTTCATCCTTGTTTCTTTTTTAATAGATTGCAGACTATCACTAGTTTGTCTACATTTTTCTTAAAAGATAATAACTGAAAGTGGGCTGACCTCTTGCTGTATTTAAGACCTTATTAATTCTGAATAGAGTATCAGTATTTTCCATTTCCTTCATACAACACTCCTCTTAATCCACTCCAGAATGAGGTTTTCCTTTCTTTGCAATAGCATCATATTGTTGAATTTTGTTTACTTCTTTATCGAGGACTATCTCCAAATCCTTTTCCACAGTACTAAGCCTAGGCAGTTATCCCCAGTTTTGTATTTGTGTATCTGGTTTCTCCTTCCTAAGCATTATTTTCATCATCAAATTCCATCTTTTTTAAATTTCTGTTAACAACATCTGACATTTAAATCCTGTCATCCAACTAGCTGCAGCTGCTCCCTCGCTGCTTTCATCTGTGGGTTTTACAAGCACTCTCTGCTCCAACATCCCAGTCATTACCGGATAGAAATGGGCCCTTGGTGAACTTCTGCATGATCCTACTTCCTTAGTTCTCTAATGAAAACATTTTCCCCTGCATCAGAAAACTCATAGATCTGCCTCAGAAAAGTCATAGAACTGCATTTTAGATAATCTTGAGTGCTAGGGTATCTGGGTCCTAAATATTAGCTGTCAATGGTGGGAGCCATGATATAGGTAAACTGGAGGTTTTAAATTGAAAGTGGTGTAATACAATTATATGTAGACTATTACAATGGGCTGCCTTTAAGATTTCACTCTGATTTCACCCAATTTTTGTCAAAAAATATTATTTAGATGAGGCTAGACCATTGACCATTACATTTCCAATTAAATCCTTACTATGCTCATGTCTATCATTAAGGCCAGTGGAATGAGAATTACATTCCTCAACACAAATCCCAGAGAAATCTGGTGGTCTGCTACGAGGAGCAATATATAGCAGAAGAGAGTATTTCTTATAAATTGTAAATGAAACTATATAGAATTGATTTGTTCTTCCAAAACTTGCCAGAATATCTCTTAATTGTCAATAATTTCATAGGTTGCTGTACATTTTATTACTCTGATCATAAAGAACTCCAGTAATGCCCTGTATTTTACTTTGCTGGATAGACACTGACATGTGCTTTTCATTAGTCCGAGACAGACAAATTGCTCATGTAACCTGTGATAGGGAAGCAGTTGTATCAGGTTATATGCAGTAGCCCAAAGAACACAGAAATTCTAGAATAGCTTGGATGTAAGTTGATATAGAAAACTAAAGCAAGATGGGGGAACAAGAATATTCTAGACATATTATACATGGCTACAGACAGTGTAACAATTAAGGTATAAGCAGGTTCTTTTTTTTCAGACCTTTCAAAAGTTCTCATCTGCACTGTGTATGTTTCTTTTAATGTAAGCTGCCTAGAGTCTGTCCTTAGCCAGTGGAATGAATATCTGGAAAGGAAAAACCAGCTGGAGCAGTGGTTAGAGAAATTGGATCACAAAGTGGAACAGCCTTTAGAACCACAGATTGGTCTGAAGGAGAAGTTTGCTCAGCTGGACCACTTCCAGGCTATTGTTTCTGAGATAGAGGATCACTCTGGTGATTTACAGCAACTCATTGAAAAAGCTGTGGAACTGTATGAAAAAACAGAGGATGATTCTTTTGGAGAAGACGCTCAAGAAGAACTAAAAACACAGTTTAATGACATCACAACTGTAGCTAAGGTAAGATAAAGGCAAAGGCCTCCATTTCAAGTAAAATGTTTAGATATCTGTATATATGGCTAAAATTTTGATTTTCATAATTTTTTAGTAACTAAAGTATTGTCTGTGTTTGAATAGTCTTGCCTTTTGTTATGGTTGAGTCTAACAAAAAAGTTGGATGTAGTTTACTAAAGTTCACTGGAGTGCAAGAAAGTTATTGGGAATTCTAATTGGTATGGTTATGATTTTTGAAGAGTGTAGGGCATATATTTTCTTCCTAGTTTCATATATACAATAATATTTCTGACATTCTTCCAGATTTATTTTCATCTAATTCTTTTTCATTCATTCCTAGCACTTTTTTTTTACCTAGAAAGGGAAGAATGAAATACCTCCCTCAGCAGAAAACGTATTGTCAGAAAGAGAAATCCTATTGTCAGAAAACATATGCCCGTATTTTGTGGTGTTTCAAGCCACTAAGCACTGCACATGCTATACAGGTATTCTGTTTGGTTTCTAAGGAAAGATACATGAGCTCAGTGAGACCTTCTGCCAACCAGATCATGACAGTGACACTAGCTCTGAGTTACAATCTCCACCTTCTAAACTGATGGGAAAGTTTGCATCAGGAAGAGGCCACGTAATAACAGGCTAATGTGAGATTGAAGTAAACACTGTATATAAATTCAGTAATCTGATGGAAGTGTGACTTGAGTTTTCGTGTGTTGAGAATAGAGCTGGTGGCCTATAGGTAATTAATCAATAGTCTGTATAAAAAAGATTACCAAAGTAAAAAAATAAGTGGAACATCTAACAAATTATCTGTTAGGAAAAATGTTAAATCTAGGGCATATGAATTTAACTCTTCAGTAAAAATCTGCGTTTTTCTTACTAAACTTGATAAAGGAAAGTCATTATGCGGAATCACGCAGTTTGGGTTTGGATTTGGTTTTTTTATTTGTGGGATAAGATATATTATTGTCATTGCTTTATTGCTTTAAACATAGACCATAGATATTACAGCCCTCTCAGATGTATCTGGTCTGTAATTACCGTTTATTCACACACTCTTTTGTTTTTATGATGAACTTCTGCTCTCTTTTTTTAATGGCTATAGTAAGCGATGAACCCGGTTTCTAGAGAATCAGTGCAGTTTCATCCTCATATAACTCTACTTCTTTCAGCAGCGTTAAATTTGGAGCAATACAAAGATTACTGACTCATTCAATACAATGCTTTTAAACTGGTGTGAAAAGAGTATCATAAGTGAGCACGGCAATATGCATGTATAAATTTAATTTCTTAAGCAAGAAAGACAGCTTTGCAGTCTTTCCCTTGGGAGAACAGCACTGACTGCAACTGGTAGAAGCCATTGCCACCAGAAGAGACCAACTGAAGTTGCACTTTGCCTCCACTCTCCCCCTCTACTGGTGCTGTATTTTGGTGTGAGCAAAGTAAACAGGCGTGCGTGGTTGCCTTTTCTGGAGCTCTTTTGCTTCACTAGGAAGCTATCTATTTTGTTTAGAGTCAGGCACATGTGGACATTTTCTTATTCCGTTGTTGCATAAAATGCATTAAGATGTGAAAGCTTTGAGGATTTACTTTAAGTCATCTTTGTTTAGCTAGTAACCATCCATTGTCTAGCTGGTCTGACACATTCTGAGAAATTATGATGATTATTTTCAGAGGGAACAGTAGGGCTTATTAATCTAACTTAATTTTTAAAAGCATTAGTTGAATGTTGAGTTATTCAAAATTAAAAATAACTGGAGTTTAATTCGTAAGTAGTTTAGTTTGAAACTGGTTTAAGGACACTTAGATCTAGATTAGAGTATCCACACAGGAGTAAAAAGCTATTTGATTAGCTCATTTGACTTTTGGTTAGTTTTGATAAACATTCCTGAGTGTTAGCTCACAAGAATATAAGAACAAATCTACTCAGTCAGACCAAAGACAAATCTAGACCAGTACACTATTTCACCTTTTCATAGTAAGGTAAGCTGGCCCTACTTTAAGCTTACATTGAAAAGCTAAGATGGAGCCATGAAGCTGTCATACATCTGTGTCAGGGAAAGTGTCCTCCAGGGCTGCAAGGCAGGTGGCCGGGGACAGCCACCACTTCTAATCTGATGGTTAAAATGGGACTCAGCACCATAAGAATCTTTCGCACTTCTGAACAGCAGAAGTCCTCCTTTGTGGTCTTCGTATGGGACACCTCTCTGACTCTGCTTAGCATTTATAGAGACTTGGTTCTTCTAAATAAGAGCTATGTTTCTGGCAGCGTGCTGCTCCCTGGGAAGACCCTTGGGTGATCTATAAGACCCTCTCCAGGGCATATTGGGAAAAGCGTGCCAGACTTACACAGCGGCAGCTTTGACATCTATTAAAAGATACATTTTGTGTTAAAGGATGTGTTAAAGTACATTTTTGCATATATTTTCAGAAGGCTTCTTCATCTTTTGCTGCAGCAGAACACACATGTCCAGACCAACCTAAACCAAACCTTGTGCGGTGTAGCACTGTGTTCTGCTGCTACAAGCTGTGCTCTATTCAGCATTCAAATGGATGCTACAGAGTCAGACCAGCACTCTATACCACTGCATGCTTAAAGCCAGGACAGTATTTAAGCACTTTAATGGTCTTTTTTTTTTTCATCTGAATGATAGGAGAAAATGAGGAAAGTAGAAGATATTGTGAAGGATCATTTGCTATACCTTGATGCTGTGCATGAATTCACAGACTGGCTCCATTCTGCAAAGGAAGAGCTGCACCGCTGGTCAGATGCATCTGGAGATACATCAACCATACAGAAAAAGCTGGCCAAAATCAATGTAAGATAAGTGAGCTTTCATGATTTCATCTGCAATTAAGACCCTATGCTCTAAAATAGGCCAGAGCCAAAAAGTTGTGGGATCTTGCTCTTTGTGTATTTGACATGGTGATTACATTTCAGTGAGCTGAAAGCAAGCTTTCTAAGCTATGTTTTGTTTTCACCTCCCTTTCCATATTAAACGGATGGAGTAAAAGTACAGTCAGACCTAATTTAGCTACAGCACACATGGAAACAATTTGCAGGAGCGGAAGCCCAGTGGCATCACAGAAGAATGTGGCTTAGCTAATTAATGAATACTGCTCTGCCCTCATCCCTGAATATGCTTTCTCCATGAGCCGAGTTGTCTGAATCAAAGTCAGAAACAACCTTTCCTGATTTGCATGAAATGGAGATGCATAAAGCAGTGCAAGGATTGTTCTCCCCAAACACGGTAGAAATGTATGAGTTGCCTCCCTGTGTATACTCTCCTCCTTACCCTGGCATCCATTCCCAGGCATTTGAGTGCCTAAGCAAGTTACGTATTCCTGAATGCAACATTAAAGCAGACTGCACGTTTTGCTCGTGCCTGATGTTTTCGTTCAGATACTCACGCTAGCAACATTTTACTCTGCTCCCAAACATGAGAGAGTGGGCCAGTGACCAGACTACTAGACGAAGATTCAGGATACCCGAGATCAAATTACAGATTTGTTGTACACTCTTGGATAGTTTTCAGTCTCCTTTGTGCTCAGACGCCCCACGTATAAAACAGGGAAGGGAGGAGATAGTAGTTTCTAGCTCGTAAGACTAACAAGAGAATAAATAACATTACTCTGGCATGCAGAGTTTGGGATGATATTTATATTCTCCAGCTTCTTAAGCTGAAAACTCCCAAAATTCCCTTGTAGCATGTGTGAGATTGAAATAGGACACTGTAGAAAGAATTCACTTCTGAAAAAAAGAAAGAAAAGACATGTGCAACCAATTATGGCACATCACGGGTAGGCTGCAAAACGCTTTTTCTGAGCGGCACAGTTGTGTTTTTTAAACTGCTATGAGCAGCCACCTACCAGTGTTTCTTACGCAACAGAGCACAACAAAGCTGTGATTTTCCGCATCTTAACCTAAACAGTAGTTTCAGTGTCTAGAAGAGGTTCTTTCTCCGCTGAGCTTGTGACAGCTTCGGAGTCGCTCTTCGATCAGCGCGAAGCCCGCACGCTCTCTTGACCGAGCCTTATTCTCACCCGCCCCCCGGCGGCGTTTTGCCCCCCGGGCGCAGCCCGG